AAAAACCTTTGAAAGGCAAAGTTTGTTTAATAAGAAAAAACATATGTACATAGTATTTGCAAAAAAACAGCGGAAAAAAGTATTGAAGCCCTATCGAAAAAAGAAGGATGCAATATTTTGTTGGGCCACCTTGGGTTTTAATGATTGCATCCCTTTGTCTCGGCGTACTTTCTATCAATTTGTTGAGAGTAGACATTGAAATTCCATTTCAAATCCCTTGAATTATTCCAAAGATTCTTCTTTGAGAAAAAATGATGTCCTCTCCAATTTCGTTTCACGTGGGCCCATAAGTGCTCAATAGGGTTGCAATCAGGAGAATAAGGCGGAGTTTTAAGCAGATAAATGTTATTAATGCAAAACCAGCCCGGAAGACGAACAAAACGACGATCTGATATCTACGTTTTTCGGCCCATCATCAAACCACTTGTTTTTTGGGTCGTTGTCTTGTCGAAAGAGCCACGCCGGACCCATATTTCTACTAGGTGAGGGAGCATTGATTCCGTTAATATTTCAAAATATTTAAGTTCATCCATAATCCCGTCGATAAGAACAAGAGGCCCGTTTGACTGAGATGAGGAACATCCCCAACACATTTTGTCCCCTCCATTAAATTACACGGAATGGTGTACCGCAACTTGTATCGTGTTCCAATCAGTCTTTTGATTACATAGAAGCCATTTGAGTTCAAAATATTGAATTTTTTTCGTCCAAACAAGTATAAGCCAAACGTTTTAAGTAGATTCCTCACTATTCTCGCTCTTACATTGACGTTAAAATTGCTGGCATCGGTGGCAGTGAGTTTCGGCGTCAAAACGTGATTCTTCTGGAGGGTTCGATCCTGTTGCTCCGCAGTTTTTGATGAGCGGCCACTTTTCGTTTTCCCGTGCACGTTTCCTTCCTCACGAAATTGTTTCCACAGCCTCTTGATCATTGCAAATGAGACTTGAAACAGTCTCTTCACCATCTTCCTTTTGATCCCCATTTGTCGGGCTGGAAAGATGTGCTCCTTTGTCGGCGTGTCGATTTCCCTTTCGTGAACCATCCCTAAAGAAAATAGTATCAGAATAAACAAGTAGAAGCAAATAAAAAGAAAAAAAACTGACAAATATGAAAGGGGCTCTATACTCTTTTCCCTGGTTTTTGCAAATATTATGAACATATGTTTTTCTCATTAAATCAACGTTACAATTCAAAACGCTTTTATAACATTAAGAAGCTTAGTTCTTGTAGTTTCTAGAAATTTTGAACAGATCCAAAAAGCTTTTCAGAGAATTTTTTTGCAGCAAAAAGTAAAAACAGTCTGGAGGGTTCAATACTCTTTCCACCACTGTATGGTGCCCATCAGTGAACTGATTGAAAAAGATGTATTTTACCAGGTCGGTAATTCGAGTATTATCGTACTTGTCATCAACATTGTATGAAAGTTTTGCTGTCATTGTTGTTGTCCCCAAAGCTGAGCATTCCGAAATGAAACTACCCGGCTGAAAGAGTATGAGATTAAAATTGTCTAATTGTAAGTATTTCAACCATTCCACCATCATGTGAAAGTCCAAGAGCAATATAATTTGAATTTTGTTGGAAACCCGGGGCATACAATTCAACATCCATTAAGAAAGTTGTATCAATTTGTCGTGGCTATAATCAGTTTACACGAGAATTTCCTGTGAAAAACCTTCAATGAAGCAACAGCATAACAATCGCTCAAATCTGTGGAATCTTTTGTCGCACAATCATTAGGGAAAAAACAATATTTTTCCGTTCCACAAGCGCTTAGATCAAAACCGATTCTTCCAAGAGGGGCCGACAAATCAATTGCTTTATCCGCTGCTGCACGTTCGAGTAGCCCGATGCTTTGTTAGACCTAAAAACTGAGATTGAATGAATAAGCGTTGCATCATTTTACCATTTCCATTTGCTGTTCCTCTTGCCAGTATTGGATAAATCCTGTTCCCATCGACGTAGTTGTAAACTTTTGCATTATTAGTCGGCAAATTGTTAAGTTGTTGAGTAAAAGTACAATAAACAGCTCCGTTCGTTTCGCTAATTTTTTGGTTCGTCAAAATTTTGCTCAGATCAGCGTCTTGCTGTAAGAAAGTATGGTGCCCATCAGTGAACTGATTGAGAAAGATGTATATTACCAGGTCAGTAATTCGAATATTGTTGTAGTCGTCATCAACATTGTAGGAAAGTTTTGCTGTCATTGTTGTTGTCCCCAAAGCTGAGCATTCCGAAATGAAACTACCCGGCTGAAAGAGTATGAGATTAAAATTGTCTAATTGTAAGTATTTCAACCATTCCACCATCATGTGAAAGTCCAAGAGCAATATAATTTGAATTTTGTTGGAAACCCGGGGCATACAATTCAACATCCATTAAGAAAGTTGTATCAATTTGTCGTGTCTATAATCAGATTACACGAGAATTTCCTGTGAAAAACCTTCAATGAAGCAACAGCATAACAACCGCTCAAATCTGTCGAATCTTTTGTCGCACAATCATCAGGGAAAAAACAATATTTTTCCGTTCCACAAGTGCTTGGATCAAAACCGATGATTTTTCCAAGAGGGGCCGACAAATCAATTGCTTTATCCGCTGCTGCACGTTCAGTAGCCCGATGCTTTGTTAGACCTAAAAACTGAGATTGAATGAATAAGCGTTGCATCATTTTACCATTTTCATTTGTTCTTCCTCTTGCCAGTATTGGATAAATCATGTTCCCATCGACGTAGTTGTAAACTTTTGCATTATTAGTCGGCAAATTGTTAAGTTGTTGAGTAAAAGTACAATAAATAGCTCCATCTGTTTCGGCGACATTCACGTTTGTCAAAACTTGTTTCATCTCATTTTCCTACACTGATCATTAAACTTTGTGAAAGTTTCAATAAACCGTTAAATCGGGAATTCGCATATTGTTGTAGTCGTCATCAACATTGTAGGAAAGTTTTGCTGTCATTGTTGTTGTTCCCAAAGCTGAGCATTCCGAAATGAAACTACCCGGCTGAAAGAATATGGGATTAAAATTGTCTAATGGTAAGTATTTCAACCATTCCACCATCATGTGAAAGTCCAAGAGCAATATAATTGGAATTTTGTTGAAAACCTGGGGCATACAATTCAACATCCATTAACAAAGTTGTGTCAATTTGTCGTGGCTATAATCAGTTTACACGAGAATTTCCTGTGAAAAACCTTTAATGAAGCAACAGCATAACAATCGCTCAAATCTGTGGAATCTTTTGTCGCACAATCATCAGGGAAAAAACAATATTTTTCCTTTCCACAAGTACTCAAATCAAATCGAGGATCGGATGAAGAAAAAGGCTAAAATGAAATCAAAAATGTCGTCTTGAAATTTCAAAGTAAAGTATTCCCAAAAGTTTCAATTATATGGGTTCTTGATTACAAAATACCAGATGATTGAATAATGGGCTATTAGCTGGGAAAAAGAGCTAGTTAACACCAGAAAAGTTCGTTAAGTGGACCCCTACAGACAAAAGGAAGTCACTTTGTCCACTTGCACATAAACTTTTACTACCCAATCGAACCTCTCTATATACCTTAACCCTTAACCCCTTTATTATCAAATAGGCGAGTTCCCTTTATAATGAAAAGTATAAAAATAATCGGTCCTTTTATCTATATTCGAAAGAGGTTTGACTATATTAAAAGGTAAAAGAATTGCGAATCCAAAATGAACGGCATAAAATTTACAAGTGTTGGTGAGTATCATTCAAAAGTTTCACGAAAAAAAAGACAAACCAATAAAAGGAGCAGAAGAAATCCTCTCGATATGTGACCATTCCACACAAAATCCATCGAACGTCCAACTTGTTCTTGGAATTGATATATCCAATTCAAAACTCGACTCGATTCTTGCACTTCTCGTAGAAGATTTTTCACCTTTGGAAGTCCGTGGAAAAATGAAAGACATTTTTATCAGCGACCCACCCTAAAATAGGGAAGACCAAGAAAAAAAAGGGAAAGTGAAAGCAATGATTGGAAAAAGAGAGAAAAGAATGGGGTAAATCGGATCAAAAATTGTGGATTGCGTTCTTGTGTGAGTAAATTCCTTAAGAGGATCACCTCTGGGGAAAGTAAGGAATTTTTAAAAACGGAAAATTTCTGGAAAAGATGATTGATTGAATTCAAATCAATCATGTTTTCCTTCTGACTAATACTTCTGACTAATACGAAAAGGGTGAGAGAATTTTTCCCTTGTGAATGGAAATATTGAAATCACTGTTTAAATGTTTTTTTCGATGTCGATTTTGATCTGTTGTGAAGAATTATATATGAATACTATACTTTACATAACAACAGACTCGGCGTCTATTCAAAAATGAGGATGATCTGCTCTGGCTGTTCGTTTTCGTTGACTATGACTATTCGTTTTGCACTCGGGTTTGCATGCGTATTCACAATCAGCTACAGTATCCCGAATCATTATGCTCATTTTAATGCTAATCGCAATTCAATTCTGCATTCAACCTGTGCTTTGTGTTTCAGGTCGACCCTTTTTTTACAGATCCATGCAAAATATTTATGTCTAGGGAATGGTCATAGTTCTTTTCATATTCTCGAAATCTTTTCATAACCGGGTTAAGTGTTTTTTGTCAGCGTCACAAACTTCTTTCAAATATCTAGCGTCACTCTGATTGAATAGGTCAGAGTCATCCCCCATTCATTCTTTTCGCTTCTTTTCTGCAATTCTTATCTCGCTTTCGTGAGACTCGTCTTTGCTCGATCGCGATAAATACTCATAAAAAATGGGTTTGCTCTTTGAGTCGCGCCTCCAAATCGACTCGTTTGGTTGAACCATTAGACAGCAACAAAACTACAAAAGCTTTGATGTTTCTCCACTCATTATTATGTTCTGCTATGTAGGTGTAACAATTTTTAAGTCAACAACGATCCAAGAATAACAAAAGTACCCGCAAAAAAGAAAAATAATAATCAATTTCAAAAACAACAACACAACAACGTAGAACCAATCAAATTTAAAGCGACCTATTAAATTTCATCCATCCAATTTCAAGTTCTTCAGAGGCGACATCTGTGAGTGCAAGGATGGCTCTCTGAAATGTTAGGACTGATTGAATGATGGTTTAACTGATACAAAGGCAACATGCCGAGATTTAGACTAACAAAAATCGTACATGCATTGATAAAATGTGAATACCTGATGTGCGTTGGCGACACTCTGCGGTTTATGCTCGAGGAGAAATTTCAAATATTCGAGCCACGCATCAGGACTGTACAAAACGGATTAAGTATGTAAAAAAAAATCAAACCTTTGCTCATTTTCGTTCACAGCCAATTTCAAGGCCATTTCACAGAGTTTCTTATCCATTCCCTCTTGCCGTTTAGACTCTATTTCAGCAATTCTCACGTACACCGAATAACTAAAGGGTTGAAAAAGTATATTATTCACGCGATTGAAAACTTGCCTATTCGGCTTCATATCCATTAAGCGATGAGCCTCATTGCGGAACTGTTCAATATTTCCGAGAGCTTCCATATAATTAAGGCGAATCACCTAAAAGTTTAAAATTTAGAAATATAAATTGCGACTAGCCTTTATTGGAGATGATACAGAGCATGGTGCAATAAGAAAACATTGCGAAAAAATCTAAAGTTTAATGTTATGGCTCAATAGAAAAGAGACGCACCGCGTCCATCTTGCTCGGTTCATTTTCAATCGCAAAGTCGATGGCCAGTTTCCAAATTTGTAACTGCTCATTCAACGAAACCTTAATAAATTGAATATCAGTAGATGAATGAATATTCGATACTTTTTTGAAAGCTTCATCGAACACTTCCATTAGATCTTCTTTTTGTTTTTCTATACTTTCTTTTCGTTTAGATCCAGTCAAGAGATTGATTCTTGCTCCCAGGTGCAATTCCCAAAGTTTTGCATCTCCTTGATGTGTCTGAAATTTTGTATTTACCTATTAGCGATTAACAAAATGTGCAAACCTTTAAGGACTCTTTTGTGATTTCCAAAACTTTATTGTCTACATCTTTGTCGGCCAAGTCGTAGGAAATCAAAACCTAAAACAAACATTTCTAAGTAAAGTTGATAACTTCACTTTTTGTATGTCGTCAACCAAAGCCACACCCATATCGATCAACTTTTGGCGAATTTTGTTACCTTCAATAAGAGCATCAGCTAAAATAAAAAGTTTGTTAAACCAATTAAAGGTTAAAACCTGCATCCGATTTTTCACAGATATTCAAGAAAATGCGGCATAACTTCTCAGTAGAGCATTTTTCGAACGCATCATCGAAGCAATCCAGAATATACTAAAGCTCAAATTAGAAAGCCATCGGTATCTTCAAACCTTTCCTTCATCATGACACTTTTTCTCGAATGATGCCAAAATGGCATATTCAACTTCCCCGGGGTCCGTCAGCTAAAGTTTATTCATTGAGAACCCTAAAACAAAAACACCTTTTGTAATTTATCGTAAATTAAATTGGTAATTCTTTCCAAAGCTGGGCCTTGTTGGAAAGAAAATTCCCACATTGAATGAAGCATTTCTAAAAGTTTATTTGCTCGAATTGTAAACAATAACTAACCTGCGACTTTTGTGTGATCATTTACTTTCCTGAGTGCTTGATTTAGCACCACCTCAACCACTTTAAAATCAAGAATGGCGTCATCAACCGTTTGTGATGTGGCCTAGGTTTGATTAAAGCCAATATTATTCTCCCGTTTACTTACTATTTCAGAATCCTCCGTTTTGTCTCTTTTCTTCAAAAATTCAAGTCGTTCCCTCATCCTAAACAGTTTATATGTACAAAATATTTTTTAAAACATTACTTTTTGGCAAAAGAGAGCTCGATTTCAAAAAGGCAAATCCAATAAGTCGTCTCTTGATGTTGATTTCGTAGTACGAGTTGCAGTTGGGAGCGAGCATTCTCAATCTAAAAATTTGAAGGATAAATTTTTGATCAAATGTTACCGAATTATTTCCGGATAATTCCCATTTAGCAGATCGACATCGAAGATCTTTGTCTGACGAATGAAACTGAATGGGAAAACATTTATAAACCACTAAAAAGAAAAAACCTGCAATGCAGTTGTAAAGACTTTACTGCACATGGAATTCAATTTCTTGTTGACGAGAAAATCAATGCATTTGTACCAAAGGCTGATTTTTTTCTGAAAAATGACCTGTTGCCTAATCAAAGTTCAATAAGATTTTACCTTGCATCGCAAAGCACAAGCAAAGTATAATCCGCCTATTTTACTGTTGATAATTCCTTCAATTTCTTTGTATCGATGTGCATAAGAGAGACGTTCACGACGTTTTGAAATCAATTCCAGTAGATCCAGCAGGTAGTCCGCATAAACAACGTAATCAGCTTCATTCTTTACCTAAAATTCAATATTTTCCTTGCATTATCTAGAATCTTAAAACTTAATCGATCAAAATTTTAAAAAATATAGTTACAAACCTGTTTAGCAAGCCGATATTCATATCTTCGACATCGTTTCACCAACTCTTGTACTTCCTCGTTCTTTAAAATGTCCACATTTTTGAGTTGTTCGAATAAGGGTAAAAGCTTCTCAAACTTTTCCTCAACGAATTCTCCCATCACTAGCCTATAAAACACAAGTTAAGATTGGCAAGATAAACGTTTTTGTCAAATTAATTAAAATAATGTCTCACTACTATGCACTAGTTTTCAGTAGAGAAAGAGAGAAATTATACAAAACTGCAGCAAAAATAAAAATATTCAGTTAAGGAAACTTTAAAAAATGACTCTCATGTTATTCTGTTATCAAAAATCACAAAAGATGTATTGCCCTCAAAAACGAAATTTTTTTCCGTTGCTGTCCATTGACCGCTTTTCTTTATGACTTGTTTGCTAAAATTTACACATTTTGCAATTTTTAAGCCCAAATTCATAATTTCTGACCGAAATCTACATTACTCTTCTTGTCTTTCTTTGTTTTAAGCGCTTGCTTAGGGTTTATTTTTCAGATAAGGATCGTTTGATGATTGGCGAGTGTTTCAATGAAGAATCTCGTTAAAATCCTTTCACAAACACGATGCATTGAGGTAAAAATGTTTTTTTCGGATTCTCTGGAAAAGCGCACTGGAAATGACTTAATAAATTACCCACACGTAAGCATCAACGGATTTGTTTGTTCTAGGCTTGTTTCACGGGTGGCGACATTGCGTGGAGTGCTGATGGAAGACGTCTTTACACAACTTGTACAAGCTCGATCAAAGAAATCAACTTATTTGATAACTTGGCCACGTACGATTCTTTTGGTCTTTAAAGTTCCAAAAAAACTTTAGAAGAACTATCGGGTCTGCGGAAGAAAAGGGGAGAATAACGGCGTTAACACTTGACCATTCGCGTGAACGTCTTCTCGTAGCTTATAGCAGTGGATTGGTAAGTCGCATTGTTTTTACTTTTTCATTCTGATTTAGATTTGTGAGTATTCGATCAAAGAAAGCGATTTTGGCACTTTACTCCGTTCATGGAAGCCCATGCATTCAGCACCGATCTTGATTGTCAAGTTTAACTCTGATGGTTCACTTTTTGCGACAGCCTCAAGTGATCACAACATAAAAGTTAGTATTTTTTGTGCTCATTGTTTAATTCAAAATTTAGGTTTGGGATGTTCGTAAGCAGACTTGCTTGTATCATTTGGCCGGAGCTTCCGTTGTAACTACGCTCTGCTTTGTTCGTAATGGACGTCTTCTTAGCGGGTAGTTTCCTCAACAAATTACTTTACTATTTTTTTTTCTAGGTATATGGATGGAACGGTTACGATGTACAGTTTGAATCCAGGAGTAGTAAACAGAGCAATGTATCAATGGAAGTGTCACCAAAGGTACTATAACAACTTTTCAAAAACTTGTCTTTTAGCCAAATATCGTCTATATGCGAAATTGCGGACACACGAAAAGCAGTATTGATATCGAGAGATCAAACGTGTACCATCATTGATATGGAAACAACGAAAGTTTTGAAGTCATTACCGCTATTTGAGGTAGCTTCTTCAAATCTAGGTATTTAACCTTTAACCTTTAACCTTTAACTTTTAGGCAATCGAATGCGGAATTGTTATCGGCGAAAAGATGTTGACAGTTGGGGAAAAGGGTGAAATTGTCGAATGGATCACTGAAACTGCTCAACGCAAACGGGGAAAATTGCTAGCAGGGTACTGTGTGGATTAGGTGTAGCTGACAATATTTCATTTTAGTCATTCTTTAAAAAGGATCTTATACAATCCCACCGTTGACCAGCTACTCATCATAAGTGCTGAGGAAATAATTTATCTTATCTCTGCTTCAACATTCAATGTAGAAAAGCAAATAGTTGGCTTTCATGACGAGGTACCTAATTTTTAATATTAACGTGGGAATTATCAAATATAATCCTTAGATCTTCTCTACTGCCATAGTTGGCAAGACATCTGAAATTCCCGGGCATCTTGTTGTTGCTGCAAACTCGAATTTGATACGTCTTTACAATCTGGCTACCTGGGATTGCAGATTAATCGATGGTAAGTGTCTCTCCCTGGATATTTTTTAATTTCGCTTACAGGGCATACTGATTCGGTGTTAAGTGTGCGCTCTGCCTTATGGAACCACTCTATTGTTGCTTCATGTTCTAAAGATAACACAATCAAATTATGGAAGTTAGACACCGAAAAAAATACCCTCGAAGCGATAGCATTCGTATAAACTTCATGCTTTTTCCTAAAAATTTTCTTATTAGGGTACTGGGCATACGAATACGGTATCAGCTCTCGTGTTTTCTCATCATGGGAAAGAGTCCTTTGTTCTATCGGTTTGTTTTTAGCTTAAGTAAGATATTACTTTTAAATAGGCTGCTCATGATACAACCTTGAAACTTTGGGATCTCCGCAAATTGTTGAATCCATCAAAGAAGTGTGCCGGTCCAGCAGAAGAAAAGTTTTTTAAGTAAATTTAAAGATTTAAAAGCATTTTATAGAAAGTTGATCTGTTCATCAACAATTGTTGCTCATCAAAAAAACATCACATGTGTCGAGTGCTCACCAAATGACGCGCTTTGTCTTACTGCATCTATGGACAAAACCGTAAATTCTTCTCTAGGTAGTCTTACTCCAAAAGTCGCTTAGATAAAACTCTGGAAAATTGACACGGGACGAATGCAATTGGGGATCGCTGGAACTTTGACTGGACATAAAAGAGGTGTATGGGACGCTAAATTTTCGCCAAATGCCCAGGTTTGAACTGCCTTTTGTTTTGACGAAAATTATTTTTCAGAAAGTTGTTTCGTCTTCCGGTGATCAAACGTTGAAGATTTGGAGTGTGGGCGACTTTTCTTGCCTGCAAACGATTAGTGGTCATTCATTCGCCGTTTTGAAGGTATCCAAAAATAGTTTTATGGAAGTGTTCATCACCCAATTTAGGGTGATTGGATAAACAACGGATCGCAACTAATATCGGCAGATAGTGGTGGAGTGATCAAGATTTGGAAGTTGGAAAACAACGGAGCTGAAGCAGAAGCAAGCATTGAGGCACATGATGATAAAGTGAATAAGAGTTTTGTTTATTATTGTTGGTTCATTTCAGATTTGGTCTTTATGTTTTACGGAGGATGAATCTCAATATATTACTGCTGGAGGGGATGGTCGAATAATTATTTGGAAAGATGTGAGCGACGAGAAACGACACGAAGAAGATAAAAAAAGACGGGAGAAAATCGAACAAGAGCAGGTTGTTTTTATAATGTTTCTATTCTATACAATATAGTTAGACACTTTCGAATCTATTGGAGCAAAATCGATATTTGGAAGCGTTGGAGTATTCATTAAATTTGAATCGACCATTTGGTTCACTTAAGGTGAGTTTTTAGAGTACGCTGATGTGGAATTTTCTCGATTTTAGGTGGTAACCAAACTTTCTGAGAGAGATTCACTAGATGCGGCCTTTGCTCAATTAGACACTAATCATTTGAGAGTTCTACTTGATTTTGCTTCCCAGTGGAACACAAATAGTCGAACGGCAACGGTACTTAAAGCTTGAAATAGTTTTACTGGGTTTATCTAGATGGGCCAGCAAGTTCTGCAGGCCGTACTGCTCGTGATTCGACCCGAAGATCTCTTGGAGCTGCCAAATTTTACTCAAATCGTCGAGGCTTTTCTTCCTTATACTAAAAGGTACAGTTTAAGTAGATTCAACATATCATTTTGAAGTGTACGCCCAATTTTTAGACACGCTCAAAGATTGGACAAAGCTCGACAAGATGTTTCGTTGCTTGAATATACAGTCGCCCAAATGCGTTTGACTTGAAAGTATGATGCCGTATTTAAATGGTATTAATATGAAGTGTTTTTTGATAATTGTTATTTTGGTTGTTATCATTGTTGTTATTGTTACATTTTAAATAAATTTTACAAAAAAATTTCTTTTTACTTGGGTGTTATAAGCGCCAATTGTATTTGTTGAATCTTTTTTGAATATTGTTTTCCATCCGCTAAGTTTTCGAATTAGAAAATTGATAGATCCTTGTTTTCAGGTAAAAATGGTCGAGGAATTGCCGATGGAGCAGATTGACGACTTGCCGGAGCTTGTGCGTTTATGTAAAGTGGTTTTCTAAAAAGCATTTTTTTAGATAGATGAAGAAGCGCCACTGAAATTGCCTCCATTGCTAGAATCACTGATGGAAAAGCCACAAGAAGAAACATGGAAGGTAAAGAAGTTGGAACGATCATAAGCAATTAACATTTTAGATGGCTAAAGGAAGAAAGCGAAAGTCACAAAAGGATATAGAAATGGAAGACCTTGGAGATGTAAGTTAAAAACAGAAAAAAATAACAATATTATTTATTTCTGTTTGACTATTTTAGGGAGCAACTTTGGAAGGGGGCGAAGATATTCTTCGAAAGACAAGTGACGATATTCCGACCTCCGTAGTGGATAATTCTGAAGCCACACACTCGTCAGTTGCATTTTTAAAGCGAACAATTGTTGTTTACAGGAAAAGGTCAAAAGGGGAATTGAATGAAGCCAGGAAGATCCAAGTTCCGCCAAGGTTTTGTCTTTGTTGGAATGTTTTTGGTTGTTGACAGATAAAATTTTAGTCGTTACGGGCCTTTGAAAGAACAATGGGTGCAACTTTTGACTCCAGTTGTGAAACAGCTCGAATTGCAAATGCGCTATAATTTGAAGAAACGCGTAGTCGAAATCAGAAATCCTCCAGGAACACAGGATACAACTAAGCTGCAGAAGGTGGCTGCATTCTGGGCTATGCATTAGTTGACACTAACTTAGGCTGCTGATTTTGTCCGTGCCTTTGTTCTCGGTTTCGACATTCAAGATGCGCTGGCACTAATCAGAATGGATCACCTCTTTTTGGAAACTTTTGAGGTAAGCCATAATTTTTTTAATAACTTTTCGGGTTTTAGATTGACGATGTAAAATTTTCGCTCAAAGGAGAGAATAAAGCACGTGCAATCGGGCGCATTGCTGGACAGGTTGAATTTCCAGTTATTTTTCAATTATAATTGATTTAGCACGGCCAAACAAAGTACACTATCGAAAACGTTACTAAAACACGGATTGTCCTGGCTGGCACAAAGGTATCTTTCTCAGCCACTTATAACTTGGATCGCTATTTAGGTCCATTTGTTGGGAGCATATCAAAACATTCGCATGGCTCGTCACTCAATTTGCAGTCTCATCCTAGGTATATTGCTGTTATTCGGTGTCATGAATCACATACTGTTACTATCGTTAATATCTCATTTATCATTTAGGTGCTCAGCCATCAAAAGTCTACGGGACACTTCGACATTATGCTGCCCGATTAAATGAGCGAATTTAATTTTATTGTTGTGACATTGTTTCTCGTTCTGTTCTATTGATGTCACAACAATTTTGTTGATTTATTTTGTTAACGAATAAAGGTTGAATAAAATTACTTAAAACAAACTTTTTCAACTTTGGCTACTCGCCGGTTAAGTTTTTTTATCGATTGAAAACGGTCAGAAGAAGTGTTAGAATTGCTAGGTAATTTTCAAATATCCTCTTTCCATAAGATCACCAGATAAAAAGTTTGTTTAAAAACCAGTTTTCAAACAAAGCATACAAATTCGGAAAATATGTCTTGTATTGTTGATTTGACACCAGTAATCTCTCAATTTAGATTTTGTGCAATGAATCTTGAAAAGCTCAAACAAGGAGATGATCCCTACATGCAATTTGATAAGATGCACTTTCGTAACTATCTTCCAGGTATTTTGTGCTAATCAATGTGTCTATCATGAGAACATTGAGTAGGAATACTTTTAAAGCAAGGCATTTTTTTTATTATAGATTGGTTTTAAGATTCTTTTAAGAATAGAACATATAATATTTTTTTTCTAGTACCAAATGAATCTTTTGTGTTTCAGCGGAGATCGAGAAGTTGAGCATATTAAAAATCACCTCGACAAAAACGTTTGATTCGGTGAGTTAACAAATTATTATGCAAAATAACCAAGTGATTATTTAAATAGTTGTTAAATATTTGGTTTAGGTCGGCCAACCTGTTCCGAATGGTCTTTACGATGGGCGAATGGGAGCCAACGAACAATATGATACTTGTGGAACTTGCCATCTCAGTGACATGTAAGCTTATTGTTAGAATAAATTTAAAAGAAAATAATAAATTGTTATATTTGGAGAAGTTTTATCAAACACAATAATTTCTTTTTAGTTATTGCCCAGGACATGTTGGACATATTGAGCTGTGTGTTCCTGTGTTCAACCCGATGCACTTTCGATTTTTATTTTCGGTAACTGATTTTGATAACTGGTAACCTAAACTATTTTATGATTATTTTAGTTGATGAAAGGAACTTGTATGCATTGTCATGGACTTTTTCTCGATTCCACCAACAAGAAAGCCCGACAATTTCTTGCAAGGTTTTGATTATACATAATTAGTTCAACTAAAGCTATAGCTTTTGCTTTCAGGTTACGATGTATTGAGCTAAATCTCCCCGATCTCATTCCAATTGTTGAGGCGGAACTAGAAAACTTGGAGAGCAGGACACAGAGTCAGTTGATTTATGATTTATACTCTTTGTGAATAGGATTTACTAGGTTAAATTTTAGAAACCCTTGAAACATATCGAGATCCGACAGAAGAGTTCAATCGAGTTTTGGAGTCATTTATTGAAGAAAAGACAAAAGCTTCTATTAAACAACTTCAAGGTATTTACTAATGGTTAGTAGAATTTTTACCATCTGTTATTTTAGCGTCTGTTGCTCATGTGAAGCCACACAAAACACTTGTCGATTTGAAATATCACTACTTGAAGGAATTTCAGTTAGTAATGGTAAGTTTCTAACACCAATGTTGCATTAAAATTAAGTTTTTGCAGTTTAAACGGGTACGCAAATGTCCTCGATGTACCAGAATAAATGGCTCAATATTCAACGACGATATGCGGTTTGTTTGGATTGCTTCGATGAGTTGACAATGTGTTTTAGATGTATAATTATCGATTTTACAAATACAAAGAAAGATAAGTCGTCCATGAGAAAAGGTTTGACAATCGAGTGACTTGCTCAAAACTTATCTTAGGCAAACCAACACCAGACGAAGATGCATCCGATGAGGAAGAAGAGGCATTGATTGAGGAGAAAAGTTAGCCAGATGGCATGGTTATTAAATTTAAAGTGTTTAGAAGATGTCAAAGATGGTGGAGTTTTGGCGGGGAACGCGGCAAATACAGGCGCTGAAGCACTTCAGCGACAGCTACAGTCGATTTTGGAAGGAAAATGCCAAAAATTAGCTTGGCGTGGGGCTGAAGTACGAATTAACAGAAATGCTTTTTACTTTTAAATTTTAGATGCGAGAACATTTTCGGCTTGTCTGGGCAAAAGATGGTTCGCATTTTCTTTAACGCTATATACACAACTTTATTAATATTTTGTTTTTACTAATTGATAAATTTGCAGGACATCTATTGCGCAAATGTTTTCCAATGTTCGAAGATGAATCAGTTGGTTTTTTGTTGCAGTGGTTATTATTTTGTTTTTAGAACGGTTGTCCACTTGATGGACTTTTTTGTGAAGCCGTGCTTGTACCTCCGAACAAATTTCGACCCATACGTATGATGGCTGGAGATAGGTTGGTAATTGAGGGCATACATTCTTTCCTGAAATAGTTGTTTTTATGCTTATAGTTTTAGTTAATTCTGGCCAACATCATTAAATATCCATATAGTTCGTGGTCTGCACCAGGACCACATCAACCTAATTGAGAAAAAAAAGTCACTTTTAAAATATTCAGGTACGAGCATCCCGCGTCGGTGAATTTGAGAAAGCTTTTGGAAGCAAATGAGGCGGTGAAGGTTGATTTAAAAGTTTTTTAAAACTTTAACCTAACTTCTAGTGTCTTGTGATCATCATGGAGAATTCGGCACCAATGAAACGCCCTGAATTAATAGATTTTGTACGAAGGGTATGTTTGATCTCATTACAGAGTTACAATCATAACAACACTAATTAATTCATTTAGATGGGGATTTTTGGAAATAGTGAACACGCAATGATGCATCAAGCTTACAAAAATCTCCAAAATCGGTTTTTTAGAATTTAAGTTTTCAAAAATTTATATGTAGAATGAATCTGATTTTTGACGCTGATGCCGACAAATATCAACGCGAAGAGCAAGTTTGGAAGCTGGCATTTTTATTTATTGATAAAATTTAGAAAATTCCTGGCATTAAACAAATTTTGGAGAAGAAAGAGGGTCTTTTCAGAATGAATATGATGGGAAAGCGTGTCAATTATGCTTGTCGGTAAAGAATGTTTTTAGAAATTATATGCATTTATTGTTTTAGCTCTGTGATCACACCTGATCCCTACTTGGATGTCGATGAAATTGGCATTCCTGAGGTAGAATTTACTGTTTTATACGATAAGCTAATGGAATATATTGTAGGTTTTTGCGAAGAAACTCACATTTGCCGAGCCAGTTAATGCATTGAACATCAAACAGATGCGGAAACTTGTGAAGAAAGGACCAAATCAATACCCTGGGTAATTGATGCAGCACTCGCTAGCTTAATTTATATATTTAGAGCAAATGGTGTTTTGACGTCCGTAGGCAAGAAAATTATTCTTGTTGGTGATAAGGATGAGGAACGAGAAGCAATGTCCAAACAATTACATATTTCGGATGCTAACCGACTGAGAGCGCCTTTTAAGGTGAAAATCATCCGAATTTGTAAAATAAATATCGTAATTATTCCAATAAAAGCTCATCTTTCTTGGGATGCTCAATAAATATTTTTAAGGTTTTACGGCATGTGAAGAAGGGAGATCTCTTTGTGATGAACCGTCAACCATCCCTTCACAAACCGTCAATGATGGGGCATCGGTAAACAAAGATTTTCCGAGTAAAGTTAGTTAAAATATTTAAGTGCACGAATCTTGAAAGGTCAACGAGCATTACGTTTGAATTACGCCCCATGCAAAGCCTACAATGCGGATTTTGACGGTGACGAGATGAATGGCCACTTCACGCAATCATACCAAGCTCAAGTTGAAGTCGGAGAGATAGGTAATTGTTTACACTAGGCTCATTCCATTCCCTACTCTCCTTTAAAATTTATGGGTACTGATCAAAGTTGCTTACGCTATGGTATAACTCGTAAATTTCTAAAAGTGTGCACACATGTCAAAGAGGTACATGATAGTAAAGACTGGATGATGAAAAAAAATTAAAGAAAATTCGCATGGTAAACAATGAGACTTTTTAGCAAATGTCGGCAACAACTTTTTGGTGCCAAAAGATGCCTCACCTCTACTCGGACTTATTCAAGATCACGTTGTGTCAGGAGTGCTTTTAACTTTACGGTAAGAAACACGTGATGCATGTAATTTTCTTTTATTATAGAGGTCGTATGTTTAATCGAGAAGACTTCATGCACCTTGTGTTGGCTGCATTCTCTGAAACGACTCAACGCCTGGAAATTCCACCGCCTTGTATGATCAAACCAGAACGATTGTGGTCTGGAAAACAAGTGAGCGAATAAATGTGTTTGCAAGTAGGTAATATCATTTTACAGGTCATTTCGACAATTGTTTTGAATTGTATACCTGCGGGTTATCCAAAAGTCAACCTCACTGGAAAAGCAAAAACACCGGTCAAATGTTGGAAGGTATCACTCAAAGGATGTCCATTTTATTTTACTGTTTTAGGTTCGCGAGAAGGATCCTCCAACATTCCGAATGTCAGAAAGTGAAGTCATCTTTAGGTATTATTGATAATTATTTATGTTTTTATAAGCAATTTTAGACAAGGTGAACTGCTATGCGGTGTATTGGACAAAAACCACTTTGGCGCTTCGGAATTCGGTCTCACACATTGCTTCTTTGATCTATATGGACATCGAACTGGCATCAAAATTCTTTCCTGTTTTTCCCGACTTTTCACCACATATCTTCAGGTTTGCAGCCTATTGGCAACAAATAATTTAAACATTTAGTACCATGGCTTCACTCTTGGAGTAGCTGATATTTTGTGCCTACCAAATGCGGATAAACGTCGGAAAAAGGCTATCAAAGGAGTGAGAACAATTGGAGATCAGGTATATTAAATTGAACAAGTTTTGAGCGGAATTTCTGCTTTCAGGTTGCGATCGATGCTTTTGGACTTGGAGCCGATGCTTCACAAAATGAAATTAAATTGGCACTTGCGGCAACTTATTGCAATCCAAAAGTAGGACTTCATTTAACGAGTCTTAAGAGTTTTCTTTTAAGGGAGTTGGAGCCGATCTTGCTGCGCTTGATCGAACAATGAAACGAGGAATTACACCATACAACGATAAAATTAACAAGTCAGAAAAGTTTTCTCAACATTTTAAAACAAAAAAGTCATATAGGGCTTGTGTGCCTGATGGCCTAGTACGGTTATTCCCGCAAAATGGGCTTCAAATGATGATTGAAAGTGGTGCAAAAGGATCCACAGTGAACGCAATGCAGGTAAAATATTTAGTAGACGGTGCATTGATTCCTTGAACATTTTAAACTAAAAATGAAGTCAATATTAGGACACTTAAAAGAATTTATTTATTATAAAGTCCGTTTTGATGAAAACAATTCTAGATTTCATGTTCTTTGGGACAAATTGAACTTGAAGGAAAGCGTATGGCCGCGACAGTTGCAGGCAGAACACTTCCATCGTTTAGGTGAATAATTGGCGCTTTTAAATTGTTACTATCAATTTTCAGATCGTTTGATTCTTCACCAAGGGCCGGAGGTTATATCGATCAACGCTTCATGACTGGAATTAATCCACAAGAACTGTTTTTTCACACAATGGCCGGAAGAGAAGTTCTTTAGTTTTTGAGACATTTCACAAGCTTTTTTTCAATTACAGGGACTTATTGATACTGCTGTGAAAACTTCACGTTCCGGATATTTGCAACGATGTATCATTAAACATTTGGAAGGGATAAAGGTGGGTACGTTTCATAATATAGTGTCAACTTGTAGTTTTAGGTCCATTATGATGCAACTTGTAGAGATCATGATGGTTCAATTATCCAGGTAAATTACGTGCAATTAGAATAAGAATTTATTATCACTAAAAAAGTTGTTGCTAAAATGTATTTTTAGTTTCGCTACGGGGAAGACGGAATGGACGTGTGTGAAAGTAGTTATATGACATCCGCTGATCAATACGAGTTTATGCGATCGAATTTGGACATAATTGAAAAAGTAATGAGAGAAGTTTGGGATAAGACCATAAAACACATTTAGTCTGTAAAACCCGAAGGGATATCTGCGAGAGATTTGCAAATACACGAAGCAACCGAACACTATGAAAAGGTGAACAATGAAAAATTTACTTTAAAAAGTGTACATTGCTTGTAGGTCAAAAAGCACCGTAAGACCATTCTTTCATTGTCGAAACGAGGAAAGGGCCGGAATGCTGCTTTTTGTGCGTTTTCATTCGAGCATACTGGAACAAAGAAAGAGGTGAAGATTTTAAATGATATTGTAAATCTGAACTACCTAAAACTAATGCACTGTTTCAGGATATTGTCAAAATGTGGCAAGAACTGAGCGAAGATGAACGTGACTTTTACAGAAAGAGTGTTTGTGGAAGGGTTATGGATACAGTTGATGAAGTAATGAGTATAGTTAATTGTCAACAAATATTCATTTTAGGCATTCAACTCAACGAGAACACTCGGAGCACTACCTGAAGCCATTTTGGACAAAATTGACAGCTTCTCCGATCAGATTTTAAAGAAATACGAGAAGATCACTCAAATTCGGGAAAAGTTTGTTTTAATGAGTTTTTTAATAATTCTCTAGTTTAGAAGCGGATCTCGCCTTTTCGAGCAGGATGAAGACTTGTTGAACGCGGAACGTTTAAAAAGGACTCTCTATTGGAAAGGTATTTACGAATACGCTTTGAAGTTATAGTTAGTTGATTTGAAGGGATGAAATCACGTGCTGTGGCTGGGGAAAATGTTGGTTTGCTAGCTGCACAGTCAATTGGAGAACCATCCACACAGGTGTGGAAAGTTACATATACTTTAGCTTTACTGGTTTTATTATAGACTAGCTAAAACAATAGACTGTTAAGAGATGTTTTTAGATGACATTGAACACTTTTCACTTTGCCGGACGTGGTGAAATGAACGTGACATTGGGCATTCCTCGACTTCGAGAAATTTTGATGACCTCGGGCAAGAATATTGCCACTCCCACTGCTGAGGTTATTTAAAGCACCCTTTTTCTTCAAACCATTTCGTCTAGATCTGTTTGCACAAGCATGCCTGTGCTTCAGATGTTGAGAAAATTAAACAAGTACTTGATCGGATTTACTTACGGCAAGTTTTGAAGTGTTTCACGGTTGAAGAGCGAGTGAATGTACAGAAAGGCATCGGGTTTGTTTCAACAATGCGTTAAGAAGTAATATAATATTTTTAGTCAACTTAGTTCACGACGATTTGTGTTACGACTGGAGTTGTTGAAGAAGTCAAAACGAGAGAAAGAACTTCGTCATATTTCAAATCGAAAAATTTTGGCTATGGTTTGTTTTAAAATAGCAAATTTTGATCCTTGGAATGCAACTTTAAGTAAAAAGTAACATTTGAGAAAGTAAAAAAAAAACAAAAATTTAAAATATTTTACGTTTTAGATTGAGGCTCTCCACAAAGATGCCAGAAGCAACAAAAAGAAAGAAGCTGACGGTGATGATGAAGGACAAATTGAAAGGGGAGTAAAAGGATTCATTCAGGTAATTCCAGCCATTTCTATGATTTCAAGTCTATTTTATAGAAATTGACAATCGAGTTGCAAAAGAAGCTGACCGCCACTCAGAAAGAAGAAGCAATACACATTAAGTATTTGGTCATTTTTTATAGAATTAATTTTTTTATTATTAAGGAGGGTGCGAATCGGAAATCTTGAACTTGGTTTGACAAAGGATAATCAAGATGGATTGCAGGACCGATTTAATAAGAGACAAGATGCAGGAGATTCTAGTGATGAAGAGGTCGGTTAAGGGATTTCAATTACCGTATTCTCCCTAATAGTACGGCGCCGTACTATTTTTTCAACCCCCTCCTAGACTGCCGTACTATTAAAGAGAATTGGATAAAGATTACAAATCGACAAAAACTATAGTGTTTTTCCAAAAAAACTTGGAAAAAACAATTTTTTCCAAATCTAATAATTGATATTCAAAACAACAAAATGATATACCGAACAAAATTAGATAACAAACAGGCTAACTACTCAAAACATCAACAATCGAATAATCACTAGAATCGTTATTCTCTCCATCTAATCCGATATTTCCAAGTTGATCCTTTACCTCTATTGATTGATTGTTCGAGTCGAGCATCGGCGAGAAGTTTGGCATCTTCAGGAATCGGTCTTACTTTCTTGAAGCAATGAATCGAGATCCATCTGTAGCCGTTGTAATCGCGCAATTCTTGAACGAGAGTATGAGAGGTTCTTTGGGTGCTCTTCTCACGAATTCTAAACCCACTCAAGGTAAGTGTCCATCGGTGGGGGAGCCGGGTTTCCATTTCGAGTTCGCGTCGAAAGTCCGTGTCTCGCCATTAATCGATTCAACCATCCCTCTGATGCATAAAAATCCTCATCGTCTTTCCGCATCGCCATCGCTTGACATTGAATCATCTTTCGAGTCACTCGCACCTTCTTCGCTCGCATTTCTCGAATACAATCAGCCAACTCCTTATAGTTTTACGCTTCCATAATGACTTTGAGAATCAAGTTTTGCTCAAAACAAAAACAAAAATTCAACAAAAATACTACTAACAAAAAGTGCTTTAGCAATAAATGGCAAAGAATCATTCCATTGGATGTTCTACGCGCACTTTGTGAGAACTATCAACTTGCTAAACGATAAAACATGACGTACACTACACAATAACTACAAGCTAGTGAAAAAACAATACAGAAAATGCTGACCAAAGAATTTTTTATTTATTTTTAACTTTTATTTAAATAATCAAGATATTCAGTCAGCAATGATTGAATCAATTGAAGCTGTGCAAATGCAAATTTCCAGCTTTTTTTTCTTTTAAAAGGGTGCCGTACTATTAGGGAGAATACAGTACTTTAAATTGTGTGTGTAAAATCGTAGGACTTAATACACATTAAGTCCTATTTGCAAGTATTTAGCGTTAGTTGCTTAAATTTTTTCCAAAGGTTCGTTATTTAATTTGTTACTGATGTAAGCGTTTCGGAGGTAATGCCGATTTCAGTTGGGTATAAACCAATTATAGGCAGCTGGTGGTAAAGAGGCTGATGCGGATGAAAGACGGCTTCACAATAGACATAGGTATTATTAATTTGCATTTGGTTTTAAAATGACAAGTTCAGAGACGATGCTGCGGAATATGAAGGAGAAGAGGAAGATCGAGAGGCACTCCCTGATCGGGAAGAGGTCACAGACTATGCATCTTCTTGTTGCAAACCATTTTAGGAAGAACATTTTGAAAATGAAGATTTGGAAGATAAAGAGGATTTGGGCTATGGAGATGAGGCAAAAGGATCTGATGAAAATGGCGAAGAAGCACAAAATAAACGAAGACAGTCCTTGGCCTCGGAAATTCAACGACGAGTTGAAGTTGGTTTGGTAGTCATTGACGCTGTAAAATTTCAAATTTCGAAACGAAAACCTGTTTCGTGATAACAAAAATGAAGATAATTTTTTAAGTGGATTATTTCTTGAAATTGTCAATTTAAATTGATTATTTGCAGAGTGTTCGTTCAATTAGTCCCAACATCGATGGGTACAAATTTGACCAGAACAACAACCTTTGGTGCGAGGTAGTAACAGTTTAAGCTTTTTGTCTTAATCAGTTTTGTTTCAGTTGACGATCAAAGTTCCGCTTGTAGTATATTCTAAGATCGACTTTGCTAAACTTGTGGGAAAGTACGTTTGTTGAATGGAATATCTCATTATTTATCATATTAGTGTTGTCGATTCATTCGTGGTGAGTGGAGTGCGAAATATCGAAAAGTGTGTCTACGATCCTGATCGAAATATATTGAGTACACAAGGAGTAAATAGAGAGGTATATTTTGAAATTATAATGAGAATTAAAAGTTTTAGGTTCTTTTTGCCTTTTCAAACATTTTGGACATGAATACGTTCTACTCAAACGATTTGACGCTGATGCTTGATCTATATGGGATCGAATCGTGTGCAAAGGCTATAGTTAAGGTAAATTCTGAAAAGTTATTATTCGTAGTACATTAATTTGATTAGTTGAGATGTAGCTGGGAACCACTTTATTTGGTAGCAACCAACAAAATTGTAAATTGAACAAGGTCAAAGATTTCAATGATTTTCACTGTTGCTCTAACTGGAATGCATTCTTTGATAATGCAAAATGTTGCAACTAAGACACTGTTTTTGAGCTACCCATCTTTTCAGACAGCTACTAGGTTTTGCATCTCGAATTCTTTGAAACTTGTAAATTATCCGATCTAGGCGAAGAGCATAATGTCTTTTTTTGCTGGAAACGCATTATATTTCTCGATCAGTGTTATGATTTATTGCCCTCAAAATTAGCTAATTTCGTGCAATTGTGCAAAAAAATGAAAAGGAAAAGGCTGTCTGTTGCGTGTGTGACGTTGTACGATCAAAGCAGAGCAACCATTTCGGACATCCTTTTAATGGAAAAGACTGGGAGAATGCAAAGGGGAAAGGGATCCCCCCCCCTCAAGCTGCAGCTACAAGTCTCGTTCTATGTCTCTTTTCTTTCATTTTGCACAAAGCAGACTGCTAGGTTGTCTTGGGGAAATTGAAAAAACTTTGCCGCATTGTATTTGCAGAGAAAAAGGAAGGAATTTGAACGACTTTGATTGGGATGTCTTTCTTAAAGCTTGTCCCTTTTAAAGCTTAATTTTAAAGTTAAGGCAAATTTAAAGAAAGTTGTCCCTAAGAAAAACTACCGTAACCCTGAGATTTTTAGTGAAAATAAAGTTTGTCGCATTTGAAACAGCATGATTGATTATTCAACTAGTTCAAGCGACAACTTTGACAGGTTCTTATGATTCAGTCATTGGTTAAGCAATTTTGCAAAGTTTCTTGAAGTTGCAGGAGGTAAATTGTTTGACGAACTTTGACCCAAGTTATGTTGTTCTGTTGTTTGCTAACTAGTGAGGAAGAAATTAACAAACAGAAATGATATCATCAGACTTTTCCCCAAAGAAAAACGTCTATTAATGTTGTGACCGAATGATGGTTGGCGTTAGTTGTTCATGTGCTCGTTGAACTTGCATCACAACATCACATAGTGATCCCCTCTTTAGATGAATTCGAGACAAAGATTGATGATGGGGAAAATAGTAGGATTGATATGGGGATCAGATTGAATGAAAGACTATTTTTATCACCCCTTTCCTTACCGTACACAATAGTTCCATTTTGAGCGAAGAGTGAGAGAAAATGGCTGAATGCTATCTCTGGTCGATGTATCCATTAATCACGTTCACGTTTTTCATATTTCTCATATAGAAAGAATTTCTTGGGCAAATCTGTTTCAGACATAAATAAACCTAATTACGATGCCAGCTTTGATATACCTAAACAGTTAAATCTATGACCAGCTTAAATCAAATTTCATCTGCATTTGATGATTGACTTTTTTAGTGACTTCTTGAGCGTAAACCTTTATTGTAATTTATTGGATTCAAGCTAGAGTGGTCGAAGGACGTCACGAAACCGTGATCTCTATAGCTAGTGGAAAAATTGAATGGGAAAGGGGAACGATGCTCAGAGCATCTTGGGACAAGAAACAAAACGAAAATCGAAGAGATGAGTTTCATTGAGCAAGAAAACTTAAGTCTAGTCTTGAGCAATAGACTTTCTCCTTCCCGTACTTTCAAAAAAATCGTCCAATTCTTTTACAGCCATTATGGTAGTTAAAATGATAAAAACTCTACAAAGACAAATCTTATGAGACTTGTTTTTCGAAATTGCCAGACACGCATTGAGGAGAAAACTTTTGGGGAACGTTTATTTTTAAAGCATCTCTATTTTGAGAGAGATGTCTGAAAATAGATGTTTATCAGAACAAATGATTATGCAAAGAACATTAAACATATTATAGACTATGGAATTGAAAATAGAAAAAAATTAAAATTAATTGAATCAATGAGTGAATAGATTGTTCAAATTTGTCTTTCTTAGGAGATGTCAAACGTTTTTGGTGTTTACGGAATTCGACCCTCCAAACGACATCTCACACTTACCGCTGATTACATGACATTCAATGGAGATATTCAGGTAGTGAATTTTATTGTACTATCATCCACCAAATAAAAATAACTACCGTAATACCTGTAATAGTAGCGCCCCCTATAATGACGTACAGTCGCGTAGTCGCCAAAGTAAAACATTTTTTGAACGCACCCAGATTTTCTAAAATAAACTGTTAGTACCATAAAATTCTTCGCTTCAAGCTTAGCTATCTTTTGATAACTAAGGGCGCATTTTTCGTCGAAGCAGCGCGGAGAACGGAGTGTCACAAAATTGTGTGTTAGACTATGCGACTGTACGGGGGAGGAGGGGGGACGCTACAGGTATTATATGGTACCTATGTGTGTTCACGCTTCTTTCTTGTCCAATTCAAGTTGGATTTATTTGTTTGGTTCTAAATCCATGGCTTGAATATGCATAATTTCGTCAATAGCATACATCCGTTGCAGGTAACAAGAGTGTTAACCATTATTATGGAGAATAACACAGGATACCTTATAAATTTTTTTTATTTCAAAGATGACACCCAATTTTAATTTTTTAGCCTTTCAATCGTACAGCGATGAACTCTTCGGCTTCTCCATTGCAAAAGATGACTTTTGAGACGACGATAGACTTTATGCGCAAGTCACTCATCAATGGTTTGCTTATTCTTTATTTTTTACTTTGATCCATGCTCTCATTTGTGAGAGGGATTGTTCAAATCCAAAACAAAACCTCGTTGAAAATAAGAGTTATAAAATGTGTAAATCCCGATTTGTCGTTTGATGCGGACACCTAATTAGGTATCATCTACTACATTATAGTTTTGAAAAATTGCCTGACGGTTTGTGTGTCTGTTACCACGTTTTCGCTTCACCTGTTTGCGTTTTGCAGTGGGCAAAGCAACGAACTAGGCGTAATCATGGGTGGGGAAGACGGGAGAGTGGTCAGATTTTTAAAATTCTCATGTTTTTGATATCAAAGATGCAAATTTCGGGAAATGGTTGAACCGACTGAATTTTTGGAAAGAATGTGGGAAAGGAAAGTTTCCGTACCGTAAATACTGTAATAGTACCCCACCCCCATAATGACGGTGCGGAGTGTTGTGTAGTCTAGTTTTGAACGAGTTTTACTCGACACTGGTCTATGCTACAATGTGCGCTTAGGTATCAAAAAATAGCCCTGAATTTCAGCTATTTTTTGATACCAAAGACGCATTTTTTGAAAGTACGGGCGCTTTGGAAAAAATGAAATACTAAAAAACTTTTGCGACTACACGACTGTACGAGGGGATGGGGTACTATTACAGTATTTACGGTATGCAAATTTCCAAATGGTAGTTTTCAAGGTTAGTGCAAATTTTAGCAAAGCAGCCGCGTAGCGGATGCTCAGCACTGCTGGTGTGTACTATAATCACCCCCTTTCAATTTTCCCCAAAGTATTATCAGATAAACAAAATTTTCTCTCAATTTTGAGAGAAGAATTCTTTGAAATTTGCTCAACTGAACATCTTGTTTGTGCAATTATGACAATCATCTTTCGAGTTTTGAGTTTAGTGGGATTACGGTAAGTTGTGAGCATAGAAACACTTTGAAAAAGGGGAGGGGACACGTGAAAGCTCCAGGTTTAGTCCGTTCAGGGTACAAGGGAAACTAGCAAATCTCTCTTATCAGTACAGCTGAATAGTTTTTGGTCAAAACCCACAAGTGAATTTTGTTGTCAGTTTTGGAGACATGATATGGTTTAAAAAAATATGAAAACCAAAATGCTTACTAATAAAATACTAATTCCCGAAACTCGGAATACTTTGATGGCGATGTTTATTTGCTAAGAAAAGATGAGTAACAGGGATAGTCTTTTGGTCGAAATACGTTCGCATTCGATCCTTTTGAAATCGTGATCAAAAAGTTTTGGCTCTAGAGAGTCTTTATTAATACATACCTAATTATATTTTGCTTGCAAACAAATTCAACTTCTATCATTTCAGGTGATGTCGATCATTTGAGCTCACCATCTGCTCGAATTGTGCTGGGTTCATTGAATCGTGGAGGAACGGGTGCTTTTGATGTGTTTGTCGATCCGCAACAACTTTTGGAACAATAGGTTTATTTAAATTATTTCATTTTGTTATGTGCTTTTAGTTGTTTATCGAATTATTCTTGTTGTTATTTAAAATGCTCACTTTTTCACGTGTTGTTGTTTTTAGAAATCGATATCTTTTGCTCTTTGTTGTTTGTTGAGCAGCTTGTTATTTTTTCTGTTGATTGAGGTAAATAGGAATTCGTTTTGCAGAAAAGGAAAGTCATTTATTTACAAGTAATTCTTTTCAGAATTTTCCTCAACGCAAGATCTTTGGTACATAAAATGGAAATGCATGTTAAAGCTCGGCTGAGAACATTTTGTGAATCTTTGAGAACATTTATGTGACCGGACAAAAAGAAGCGCTCGGGGAATTTAAAGGAGAAATAAAATAAAATATTGCAATGGGTGGGTGGATAGAAAGATTTGGGATGAGAAAGGGAGGGGAAAGGGTCAATTAGAGGCTAGAATTGGATAATTAGGCTAAAAATGAAGAGATGTGTTGAATGGGATGAATGTAGTTGTTGGTGGTGTTAATAATTGGATCGACCATCCACAACACAGACACATTTGAGCCTCGGTTACGATCGAAGACAAGTTGCACTGAAAATTGGTGGATTATTTTAGATTTCAACTAGTTTGGCACATAATATAGGTGAACTATTTGTACAACTGCCAGACTCTTGTCACACTACAGTATGTCGGAATGAAAAAGAAGATATTCAGTTCTGCCGACCAAACACTTTTAGACCGGTCTACTGTAGTGAGATAAGCAAAAAATATTCAATCATCTTAATTTTTAAGATTCAATTTAAAATTACCTTGTAATCTTCGTAAATCTTGACGGTCTTCGGATAATCGTTGCCTCATTTGGAGATCGGGAGACAAATTCGAGATTGTCGAGTCTTGTTGGATGGATGATTGATATCATGATTGAATGAAGTGATTGGAATGCAAAGAAAGGAGTGATTTGAATGAATGAATGCTTTGGTCTTCTCAAAAAGGTTCGATGGCCTTTATGAGTGAGTGAATGTGTGGTTGTTGAAGGGGCAACCCGACAGACTCCTCCCCTCCGCTCCCCCTCATTCCCCTTCCCCTTCTACTCGCCCATCGTGTTCTCCACATGTCTTTCTCCTTCTCACGCGAAACTCAAAATTTTCCAATTTTCTCTAAAATCTCCCCATTCCCCGTCATATTTCCCCATTTCGTGACGCAGCGAGAGCGATCGGGCACAACGCCAGTTCGCTTTTCGGACCGAATAAAATTTGCCCCTTTTAAGTGTAAAACAAAATACTGTATTTTGTGTGAGAGCTATTTCTCTCGTTTTTTTTTTCGAATTCCAGGAAGGTTTTCTTTTGGTATGAAAGTCCTGGATCATTGTGAACAATTTTCGCATTTTCTGATTGAACTTTAATGTTTGTTTCGAGGTTGTAAATTTGAAAATGAAAATAACTTGGGATTACCCTATGAATGCAAGATATTCAGCCAACATCTCTAGCTGAATATCTCAGCATTCAATTTTCCCCTTGAAAACCACATTTTCTTTGAAGTGCTGCACTTTGATGTTTGTTCTGTTTTGTTGTAGGAAGGGGATTGAGTTCCTTTGGAAAACAAAAAAGAATGAGGGGATTTCCTGCAAAATATGATGACGAAGTGGAAATTCAAAGAAAAGGATTTGTTTTTGCTTCCATTTTCGGTTCCAAATTCAGATTTTTGGAACTTTTTTCCACTGGGATAATTATGTATCGAGGGTTGGACGGAAAATCTTGGTTAAAGTTCTTATTCTAGGTAAATATTTACATGGTAAAAGTTGTGAAAATATTTATTGTATTTGCGAACAAAGATTGAGATCAAAAAGGGACCATCCAATCGGTTTTACTTTTTTCGAATCCCCGATCATCCGATGATGAAGATTCAACGAATTTCGGTAAACGATCGCTAACTGAATTCAAGTTTTTGAGAAGGACAGGGTTGAAAAGGAACAATTCTTTTTGTTTTTACTTCCATAAGCTGATGGAAAACTTCGATTCTTTTAATTTCAGCTGTATGTTTTTACATTTAAATCACTCAACCAGATCGGAGATGTTTCATTGATGGAAAGGAAGATGAGGAAGAGGAAGAAGAAGCAGAAGAAGGGGATCCCCTTTCAATATCATCATTGTCATCAATACTTTCTTGGCTGAAAATGATTCCTATCAAAAATTTAGTGTGGACGAGTCAAATCTCATAGTCAGTTCCATTTTTTCTCTAATTATATAGCATACCTCTATCAATCCGTTTTAATATCTCACCGTACTCCATGAATTTTCCCTCGTTTTCTTTGATATTCATCGGAACTCATCACAACACTTTGTCTCTCATCAATTGGAGTCTGAAATTACTTTTCATTGAATTTCTTTGTTTTGCATTACCGCTGTAGTTGTGATTCCTAAAAGGCGTTGGAATGATGGAGGCATTGTTAATGGAGGCAATGTGGGGAATGGGCTGAAACAATTGAAACAATTGAACAAGATGAAGGAAGTGGAAAGGATCACTCTAGTTCTCTAGTTATAAGGATGTTCAGAGTGTCATTCATCATCCTGTTTTCCCCATGATAAAATATCTTGACAGAAAGTAAAAAAACATCGATTTTAGCCCACTAACACTTTAGAAAACAGTCTTTTTCTCTAATCCAAGATTAACTTATCATATTGGAGTATGGTAGACAAAATACAGTACATTGATGGAAGTTTCATCGATGGAATTGTTGGGGCAAAAGGAAGATTTGTCTCATTTTTGGATGCCATTTGTGATGGTGTCAACGAAGGAACGCCGAATGGAGCAAAAATTATCTGAAATTTAAAGCGGATTTGGTTTTGAGTGGACAAATGAAAGGGCTTTTCAACAAAAACTGACTTGTGGAACAGGAATATATTGGATTGGAAGAGTTCGGATTGGTTGTCCAGATGAGATTTGTGATTGAAGAGGGGAAGGAGAAAGAGATCGGAGCGCGGGTCGAGGTGGAGGAGGAGGAATGGATGCATAGCTGAGATTGATTAGATATTGATTAGATGTTGATTAGTGGAATCGATGGCCATTAATATCATGGAATGCGTGTAGGAATTTGATTACCGACTTAAATTATCTTGTACTGTACTTTCATGACAGATATCATGCTGCAGGCACCTGAGCCTACGCTCCGGGAGAAGTTCCGGCAGCGTCCCTGATCTTTACGTTTGATCTTCTCGGTAAAACGTCCATGGTTTTCCTGCGGAGCGTACTTTTCCTCCGAAAGTTCCTCGGAAAGTTCCGCCGGAAAGTTTTACCGGAAACTTTCTGGAAGAAAATACGTTCCACGGGAAAACGTATGGACGCTTTACCGAAAAGATCAAAGGTGCCGCCGTAAAGATTAGAGACGCCGTCGAAACTTTTCCCGGAGCGTAGCATACGGGCTCTGGAGGTAAAACGATAAGAAAACTTTTTAAACAACTTTTTTTTCCTACTTTTGCAAAGCAAAAAGTAACAAGTATTTAGTTTTTTGAGTACGGAAACGCAAAAAAATTTTTGCTTCAATTTTTACCGCTTTGACCAATTAAGTGACTTGGTGTATGGAAAATGGCTTTTACATGTTAGCACAAATACATTCAAAACTCACCCAGAATTATACGATGGAATAATTGATTGTCTATTCACTGATGGAATCATTTGCGGTGATCGTCGAGAATTCGCAAAGTTTGATTCATTCATTTTCATCTATTTCATATTTAATTCGTTTCATTTTGGCAAGAACAAACCATTTCTTTTTTGATTATCAATTTCGAAGCAATTCTTGAGAATCCTTTTGCTTGTGGAACAGGTGGATATTGAGAAGAGAAATCTTTATCGATTCGATATTTTGGAGGGGATCTGAAAGCTTGAATATCTTTATCAATGATTTTTTAGAAGGGAAAGCAAATACCAAGCTTTCTATATCTTTGAAATGTCTATCCATTAACTGTCTATCCAATTTTATGGAGAAATGAAAGTTATTCAGTTAGGGAATCTGAAACAAACAAAATATTTATGTATACGGCATGTGCTTTTCTTTGAAATCAATCCAATTCAGGGGGTAGGCTAGTTTCCGCCATTTTATTTGCGCAACAGGGTCATTTGCGCAACTGGGTTTGCTCACCATATCTTCTGTCGATCATCTTTGTTTTGGTGTCATTTTGTTGCACTTATTGAGTCTACAAATGACCCAAATCATAGTTGTCGACTAGAAGGTTATGGTGGCTGCAACGCCCTGTTGCAATGCCTGTTGCGCAAAGGCGGAAACCGCCCCCCTTCAGCCCATTCAATTCCCTAGAAATTCACCTCCGAATTCCTGCATTTCTTTTCTTTTCTCGTAAACTACGTGCATGCGGAAGATCAATCGAGAAAATCGGCACTGAAATTTGCATAAATGAATCGATGAATATTGTAATGAGACAAAACTGGATTTTACAGTAATTGTGGGAGTGGGAAAAATGAAACCTTTAGCGGACCGGGACATTTGTGCACCTTTTTTCCGCACCTTGTACATTAGCGCACCTTTTTTTGCGTTTGAAAAAAGCCTTAGAAAGCTAATAGTAACCAATTTCATTCCAAAAGTTGTTTTTCTAGGGTAATTTTAGGGCGTAGAATCGAAATTTTGACATATCAGAGCTTGTGGAAACAAACGACGGAGTTATACAAAGAGAAAAATCGACAACTCTCGTAACTTTGATCTAGCCGTTTTTGCCTTTTAGCCAAATTTGACGTGCCACAGGTCTGATATGTCGAAATTTGGAATCGACGCCCTCGAATTACCTAGAAAAACAACTTTGGAATAGAAATTGCTTAGTATTAGCTTTTACGAGCTTTTAAAACGCGAAAAAGGTGCGCTAATGGGCAGCGGAAAAAAAGGTGCGCAAATGTCCGGGTGCGCAAAGGCGCAAAGGTCGCATTTGTCCCACTCCCGTAATTGTAAAGAATAAAAAGTGAAATCAATTTAAAATACGGTGATTTTTCGATTATTTCTGTTTGACTGAATATCTTTCAGAAGCAACAATTTTTGAGAAATCTTTTGGGGTAGGCTAATTTCCGCCATTTTATTTGCGCAACTTTACCATTGTAGTAAGCACTCAAGTTTTTTATCATTATTTTCATTGTTTTTTTTTCTTAAAACTCATTGTTAACTAATTTTTTGATAGAGATTCGACAATCATCGTCTGGTTATCATGTGAACATGCCCAGGCTAAGGTAAATTACGAGTTCTTTTGTACATTAGTAAACTTAAGTGCTTTTAAACGCTGAAACGCGGTTAAAAATCTTTTAAATTGCTTTTAAACGTAATTATTTTTTATTTTAGGGCCCTTTCATCAACACCTCGATCCAACAAAGGCAAGGAAGATTTATATGATGCGACTGGATTTGAATATAGCTTTTATCGGGAAAAGTCAAAGGGAAAACTTTATTACAGGTATTTTTTTGTTTCTTTTCAATTGCAATTTGTCTAGTTAGGGGTCTTTCAAACTGCAACGTCAAGGCTCATTCGAGGGCAAAGGGAAACATGTAAAGTACTTTTGAGAACATGAGCATTTGCCTCGTGATTTTGGAAAAGAGGTTAACGCTAACTTTTGAGGTTTATTATTTGTCTAATCAGAAAAGGAGTTAAAAATTCTGGCGCACAGGGTGTTCCAACTCGTCACATCATCCAAAAGTATTGATGACTGGTATATATATAGTTTTTGAATAACATTTCTGCTTTAGACTCCGAATTGGGTATGCATGCGGGATTTCGTCTTGCTTATGACCCTGTTGAACATCGTTTTTGCTGTTATCATTTTTTTCAGAATGTTCTTTGACGTATAAAAGTAGGTGGCTTTTTGCTTATCCAAATGACTGGTATAATATCGTTATTTTCAAGAACTGAAAGGTCTGTAAATGCGAATGCACAAATTCTTCCAAAAATCAACAGTTGGTTTTTCAAACTAGACTGAAAAATGTTTGCCTCAGGGATTTACAAATTATTCGAACGATCATATTTGGGACGTTTTACCATGCCAGGATTTCGCGGGCCAGCAAAATATGAGATGAATAAGTGAAATGCTTATGAGCGTATAATTCTTGGTCAACTGGTTGGAAACTCTGCTCAAGAAGGATTTCACTCTTTATTGAAGGTTTGCTAGAAAGCTTTCCAATCTTTTAATTCAGACTTTTTTAGAAGGGACCCAAGAATCCGCATCCATCTCATACTGCGGTAAGACTTTATGAAGAAATGACGCGAATAATCAGCCGTCTCAATCTTTCATCGGTTATCAATCTCACTGTTGGACAAAACTACGCACAGAAGAAAGCTATTGGCTTGAAAAAAGCAACTTTTTACTGCTATTTCTAATGGTCGCTTGCCCGGTTGCGCTTTTGTGCAACACCTTTCACAGCTTTTGACTTATATTATATTGTTATTGTTCTAGATTTTATTTTTATCGGTTGCACTTGTAAAATAGTTTACTAATGGTTACTAAGAAAGGACTGAATTGGATAAATATTGGAAGATTGCATAAAAAATTCGAAACTGTCGTAAAAAACAGAAGAAAATTAAAAAAAAGCTCAAACAATGAAAATAATGATTAAAAAACTCGAGTGCTTACTACAGTGTTAAAGTTGCGCAAATAAAATGACGGAAATTAGCCTACCCCATTTTTTTGCATTGTTTTGTCTTGATTAAAAAAGCTCACCTACAAAAAACAAAAGACAAATAAATGGGAATCTCATTTGATCAGAAAATATCAAAGATAATATCAGTTCAGCCTCAACAAAGCTTCAAGCAAATCTTTTTGAGATCATTTTTGATTTCCATTGAATCGACCTATGACACGGGAAAAATAACCTGTTTGAAAAGACTGAAAACCTGATTTGGAAAAAAGGAGAGTGATTTCTTTGTGGTTGGAGATTTAAGCTTGCAAAATCTGTTTCACCTATAAATAAAAATGGTATTTTAGAACGCAAATAAATTATGGTTAAATATTTGAAAAGCTAATATCAATGCACTAGACTAACCGTTTCTGACCAAATTGTACATGTAGTTATTTGTGGCTGAGAACTGGATCAATAGGAAATGGGATAGATAGATATCAGATAATCCCCCCCCCCCGCCGCCGGATAATTATCCATCGGAAAAAGTTTCTGCCTTTTTAAAATTTTGAATTTACTTATAGAACCGATTGAATTTTACAATTTTGGATCATTTTCTTTAAAGCAGTCTGATTTTGATGTCCGTGAAAAGGAGATAAGTGAATACACATTTTGTCACCCTAAATATCAATACAAAGAATGAAAAGTTTATCTTTTCACTTCATTTCATTTCCGGCCTGTTGTCTGTTGTTTTATGTGGGCGTAATGAGATGAATTCGATTGATTCTGATCTCATCTGAAAAAGAAAAAGGAGAAGCTGATTCCATTTCATTTTAGAGATAACGAGAGAAAAGGAAAGGAGTTTTTTAGGGAAATTGATTGGACAAAATCGAAGAGCAAAGGTTGTAGTCGAACAAAAGAAACGACGATAATTAGAATAAGAAAATGATGAAAGATACTGAAAAACCCAGTATAAGAACACACAGACATCTCATTACAGTATGACTGAATGGCAAGTATTCAGGCAATCATTGAATGCCCTTCAATGAAACGAAAATATGGGAGGTAGTCAAATGAGCGCCAACAATTGGGCGCCAATCATTTCAGCGCCAACGATTTGGCTCACGCTTATTTCAGCGCCACTCATTTGAGCGCCGTGCCAAAAATGACTGGAAAACAATCGTTTGAGCGCCAAATTAAAAGGCCTAAAACGTTCATTTGCGCCGGGCCAAAAATGACGGAAAACGTTCTTTTAGCGCGACTAAATTTTTTTTGCTTTCTCGCGCTTTTGCATGTTTGGGTTTGTTTCCCTTTTTTCACTTTGACCTGGGCACGGTAGTAGGCATCAAATGCGCGGAAAAATTGTTAGATTGCTCGTATTTAGGTTTTTTGTGAAAATGTGTAAATTTGCTAGTTGTATGATATTTTCCCCAATAGCGTGCTTTTTCCCGTTTCTTGCCGTTTCGTTTACAATTTGCTTACAGTTAACATAGTTCTTTGTTGGCTCGTGAACTGCGCAAGAAGTGGCGAGACAAAGGAACACTCTGAGTCAAAGTAACGTTTGTTCATGATTTATTTTGGTTTATTTGGCCAAGAATTATTTTTATCTTTGATGATTTAGATAAAAACATACAGTAAAAACTTTGAGATCATGCAGAAAATGCAAAAATAACATGCATATACAGAATGGGCTGATTCGGCGCTGAAATGAATGTTTTCCAGTCATTTTTGGTGCGGCGCTGAAATGAACGCGCGCTAAAATGAACGCGCGCTAAAATGATTGGCGCTGAAATGATTGGCGCTCAATTTTTGGCGCTCATGTGACTACCTCCCGAAAATATTCAGTCTAATTTTACAGTGTTCTTTCATTTCAATCGAGATATTATATATTGATCAACATTGAAAACGTAGTGTTCGAGGTACTCAAGAAGAAAGCCAAATGACCGACCCTTACATTATCCGATTTTGATTCATTCTACAATGGATTGCTAATTCAAATTTAGCATAATAGACCTTTATGCGTACTAAAGAAAACCCTGTGTTGTTTCGCTTACAAAATATTTTTCGACAACACTTTTACCCAAATAAATGATTATTTTCTAATTTCTGAATCACCTCATCGAATTCATTCAATAAACGATAAAAGAACCAAACCACTTTTTCTCAAAAACCCATGACTAACACACCCGTTTATTCTCGAATTTTGACTCTTGCACGAATTGTCATCCCAAAAACGGATTTAATGGGCTTCTTTCATTTTTTTCTCAAAATTTCCCTTGCCACGCCATTTATTGTTTTTTGACGGAAATTGGATGATAAGTAAAAGAAAGAAAATGAAAAGAGGCTTATCTTTTGAATTCATTTTTTCCGATTGAGTATAAAATTGTCGGGGAATCGGTGGAAGTCTCAGAAATGGTTTCAGATAACAAAATGAGGGTGAAATTTAGAAAGAAACTCTCGAATGTTTATCTGAAAACTCCTGCTTTTCGTTTTTTTTGTGCTGAACCGGATATTTGATAATGTTTTGGGAATTCTTAACAACTTTATTTGTAAACTAAACTTTCCAAACTACTCTCGAAACTTTTTTTGATTTCCCCGATTTTTTTTCAATATCAAATTCATTTATTCATTTGATCTTTTCAGGAAATGAAGACCCTAACAATTCTTCTGTTTGTTGTCGGTTCAACCCTTTCCAATCCACTTCTCATTAAACCTCTTTCGACAAAAGTTCTCGAAAAGCTTGAGCCGGAAGCCAAAGCATTGCCCCCACTTCAAGATGCTGTAAGCTACTTTTAAGATCGAGTTAACTACTTTTATTTCAAGCTTCTCCAAAGTTCTAGTCTAATATCTCATTACAGAAAAGAAGTATTACAAGATAAATAAGACCATGGAGTATCCTCAAGTGAATACTCACAATCATCAGCCAACAAAGAGTGTGCAACCTAACCACTAAATATTTCCATCCAAAATCCCTCTTATTTACAGACAGTCGCCTATGCTTTGGACCTTTCTGCATCAGTTTCTCAATCGACATTCCAATGTATCAAATCCCAAGGATATTCAACTGTTTTTGTCCGTGTCTACAACCCACAAGGAAATGGAGCATATGATTCAAACGGAGGATACAATGTGAAAAATGCTTATGCAGGTAAAGAATCTAATGAATTAGGGTAAAAATTAGGATTACTGTATCAATTCAATTAAGTTTTCTTTTTTTAGCTGGTCTTGGCACTGAAATCTACATGACTCCTCAACCATCGTCATCAAAATCGGCAGGTTGGTGATGTTTAGAGGATAGCAAAAACAAATATATACCGTTGTTGACGCTAGTATATATACCGTTAATTATCTGAATATGGGTAGCACACCCATGTTCCAGCTTACCTACACTTTAGGAAACGTCCACCTGTAATGCCCGATATAAAAAAATCAGCTTTGATATTCAATTTCAGCTCAACAAGTCGATGAAATCTACCAAGGACTCAACTCGGCTGGAGTCACCGTTAGAACTCTCTGGATCCAAGTCACATCTCCGATCAACTGGCCTAACAATCAAGTCACCAATCAAAACTTCATCACCGCTCTTACCAACCGAGCCAAGGTAAACTCATCATAAACCAACTGAGCAACTAGTCTTTTTTCAGCAATACAACTGGGCTACTGGAATCTACACAAGCAGCTACGATTGGAATCAGATCACTGGAGCCTGGTCGGGACTCACTGGAACATCCCTCTGGTGAGGGTCGAGGAAAACTCTAGCATAGTAGACCACAATATAGCGACTAGTACAGTGAATACCAATTACTGTAATATTAATTACGGTAATGGTAGTGGAAGCTAAGACAGAGTACTTAACTGAAAGACAAAACCAATAGCGTTTTTCCAGGTACTGGTCAGTCAATGGCAACGGCCCAAGCGGTGAAACCCCACCAAACTTCCAAGATTTCCGCAACTTTGGCTGCTGGACCTCCGCAGTAGTGAAGCAATTTGGCCAAGCCGAGAGTGTCTGCTCGGTGAATGTTAATCGGTTTGTTGTCAATCGGAGTCTTATGCTAACTATGTAGAAATGCAACCAAGATTTTACGATACAAACTTAGATACGCACGGTAATCTCAGCTGCCACAAGAATCAATTCCAATCCAAAATGTCCCATTTTTAACCTAATATTTTTAGCGATGTTTACTACAGCAGTGTGACCGCTGTTCAACAATCGGCTGTGATGGAGAACGGAAAAATCGTTGTTGGAACAAATGTCCGACAGTAGACATAATCATGCAATGTTTTACAACTAAAATTTATAAAAAATTTTCGGATAGAAAAATGTATATACCTATTACGCACAGAAACTATTATTTCACCACGCTTGGATATTTAGCACAAATTATCTTATAAACAGAACCACTAACCACAATTGTTATCTAAAGAAATTTGAGCCAGAAAATTAAGCAATACTAAATCAAGCGGATAATTTTTTGGTTCAAGTTCAAAGTCGCAAGATGAGACACTGACAAGCACCACCACTCTTCATGAATTCGCTCATGTCAACCTGAAAATAGGAGTAAGGCCAAAATTGCAAAGTTACGATGATTTTAAAGTAACTATATATCATAAAATTTCCTCGTCCCACCTCAGTAACACCAAATCCACGTGCTTTCAAAGCAGCGCGAGTTGCAGTCGAAACACCAATTGGAGAAATTACCTAGACAAAAATTTATTCCAAGTATTAATATAATGGCATTCAAATATTAAATCAGTTTACCGTGTTCCTAATCGTGATTGCATTGCAAACAAATGCAGTTGCTTCTTCTTGTGAAACAGCAATCGAATGAGGTAAACGTCGAAGGATCTGAAGGAAATAAATTGAACAAGTTCCAAAAGATTAGAATTTATCAAACGCTGTTACTTCAACTTTTTCGATTGAGCTTTTTTAACAACTCATAAATTATCTAGGTAATTAGAATCAAGGTCAAACCTCTTTCTTCGTATTCTCACTGAATGCCGGTGGATACCAAAGAGCCTGAAATTTGTTTGTTAGTAAACTGTAAACAAACAACAACCTATCAATTAATAACCCTAACACAAGCACATCATATATAAAGGTCACAACACAAATAAGTTAACACAAAGCAAAAAAGATACCGTTGTTTCATCGACGGGCGCAAAACACGTGTCCAAGTGATAGAATTTTGGGTCAATAAGATCGCAGATAACAACCTCAAAATCTCCCAAAGATTTCACGGAGTCGTATACCTAAGAAATTACAATTAATAATACAATTGTGACTCTTTTCAATCACTTTGCATATGTGGGTAAATCCAAATTTAGGTTGAACGCCTAGTAATCGGGGAAAGAGTCATAAGTATCTAGATAACTTATTTCTTTCTGTCTATATTAGAAACTTCAACCAAAACTCACCCCTTTGCTGCTCCGAGCACCATATCCGGCCCATAACGTCTTGTAATCCGAGAAAACAGCATCACCTCCACCCTGACAAACATTTAAAAATTTTTACTTAAAGAGCCATATCTTTTGCCAATATCAAACGAATTTTAACTGCTTTGCGTTTGAAACAGCTACCTCAAAATATTCGCCGTAATCCTCTCCAATCGGTTTGAAGCCATTCTCCTTGAACCATTGCAAATAATGCGCTTGTTCGCCGGTCCTAAAAATTTGTCAAATCTATCGTGAAAATGAGGAATACCTCTCTTTATGACGGAATCGACTGAGATAGACTCGATCACCCAAAACAAGGCCACTGTTGCAGACAAAAACTTGATCGGGCAATCCCTTTGTTTGCGATAATGTCGATACCTAAACAATATTTTGTTTATTTATTTACATATTTTGTTGGGAAACATTAATCTGTCGCTGAAAATTGCAAATCTCAAAGCTCTACCTGTACTCCTTCCTTTTCAATGGCTTTCTTGAGATCATTCCATTGTTGATGAGCTTTCGCCTTATCTACTGTGCCTCCCATCCACGGGTTGATGGAATACTGTAAGAAAAAATGTAATGAAACTCAACAAATTCTCCGTAAAATTTACACAACAGTCCGCTATCCTGTTTTCAATTCTAGTAGAGCTTTGATAACGAACTATTGGGACCGAGATTTTGTTTGCTAGGTTGAAATGCATTGACTTTTTGTTCAAGAGTATTAATGGTCTGAAAGCGAACCTCAACCGTAAAATGCTCGGGTGGGACCATGAGCACTCTTTTGATTAATTGTCCGGCAGCTCGACGGGCCATTTCTCCTCGAGGAGTGATTCTGAAATAAATATAGATTTCACTGTAGTAAAACACTAGAGAACCAAGAAACAGCGTGCTTTTCGTGAGATAGCCAAACGAGAAAGTGAAATCGATGAAATCCGAAAAAGAAATGATAACAATTTGCCGGTCAGCCTATCTCGATCCTTTAATTCGGTTGTAAATCACATTGGGATCTGTCAAGTGGAATGCAATTTGGCAATATACGCCCGGTCACAAAAGGTTTAACCGTGTCTTATAAAACCACCTTTTGCTTTTCATAGACAGGCACGCGAAAAAACTTGTGACAATGACCCCGTAACGTATTTACGTAGAACTATAGCAATCATTTATCAACCAGAAAAACAAAAATCATAACAAATTATGTGATCTAGAATTCATTCCGCCAATCCTCACCGTCGCTTTCTGCTTCCAATAGCTCATTTTGTAGTTTCACTAAAAAATGGAATTCTTTGTCAAAAATAGTTATTGAAATAAACTTTACCATTTGGGTGAACAACTTGATCATTTGAAATTATGCAGTTGACGACTTCTGCTCCATCCATCACTTTAACTCCTGGACACAAAATTGACATAGAAATATGGGCGCTAAAAAAATATAAAATTCATGTATTAAACACTTTTGAAAAGAATTTACACCATTAAAAATGTCACCCTTTTCCGATCTCCACTCGGTCCATAACCACACTTCCTTGAATTCGAGCTTTCTCATCGATTAACACATGTTCTCCTGAAAACAAATAAACACCAAAGAATATTTCAAACCTATGCTGCTCATCTTGATTACAACTCCCGCCGAAATTTTAGACGAATCTCCTACCCGGCTTGATATACATGAAGTTCCTGGAGAAAATTTTTAAACTTTTATGATAACATTACCTGTAGCTTTAAAATTGATTTCTTGTCCCAACGTTAATCTAGGAGAGATACGAGGCAAAGCTTTTAAGATCTAAAAACGTTTAGTGTTAATTCACTGTCACCCTTAACTATCAAAAGAGCGTAAAAGTTACCGTTTTACTGATCTCAAAGTATGATCCAAGATTATTGGCATGAGCAACAATTGTCCCATTCTGCACTGGCTGCACATAAACAAAGCAAGTTGGCGGAGACTTCGATTCACAACTGGCTGCTGTAAATTGAAAAGAGTTAAAGAAAAACACTCAACAAACCTGGTTCAAATTGTTTATTAAGCAAAAATGGAACCAAATCGGCTTTCAGGGAGGCAAAATTTCTAAAACATTGGGTTTAGTATTGAGACTTTTCATAAAAACTAACTTATGTGTAGCGAGCAATTCAATTGCTGAGTTTCTTAGTAAATATACGTGGCAGTCGTTCAGTTTTGCAGTAAGTGTTAACTCGTTGAGCCTAAACATAACTAGGAATAAATTTTTTTCGTCAAAAACCTATTTATCCATGAATCACCAGAAATCGATTTCTCAAAGTCTTCTTCAGGTGAACAAAAAGCTATCCGTTTACTTTGTTCACACCAAGCGACTAAATCACGACCTAAATAACCATTTTATGTAGCCAGACTAGTTTTTCTGCACCTTTAGAACGTCTAACTTTTGGCCCCGGGATATTGCCTGTGATGCAATGCTCGGAAAGCAACATGCATAATGTCGCGCTCTCACAACTAAAACGCAGCTTATTAACAACATATTATTCTTAATTTAAGCAGAAACTTACCGAAAAAGTTCGATCATAGGTGTTAATGACATGTCACTAATAAAATCACCAGAGACAACGAGCACATCATGCTAAATCCAGCATTGGACTACACAGTAAACGTGTTAGCTCTTACTGTAAATTTAGGCTGGAAATGCCGGAATGCATCCCCAGTGCCCCAGTCATCGTGATCTCGTGGAAGAGACAGAACTTCTACCTAAGTAAGAAATTTTATCAAATTTTAAGTTTGTAGAGCTAACTTGCATATGGTCCCATTGATAAAAAGGGTCTTCCAATAACTTTTCATATTCTGCTCGATACTCTTCACAAGTGATTAGCTTGACATCTAAAACAAAAGTTGTTCAAATAAAGTAAACAATAAAATGATCAGAAACCAGTTAAAACAAATAACTCAAGCATAACTAACCTCTCACTCCAGTTTTGCTTATTGAGTTCAACGGAAACCAAAACATTGGTATTCCGGCAACTGGTAGTAGAGACTTAGAAAGATGCTCTGTCAATTCAGGCATTCGGTTTCCCGAACCTGCACATAAAAGCACGGCTTGCAACTCACTCATATCTACAATTTTCTTTACAACCAAAATTCCTCGCTGGAAAGAATGAATACAAAATGTAACTTTTGGAGACCGCCGATTTATTTTGCTCTTGAATACACGTAGAACTTTATTACCCAAAGAGAAATTTTTACAGAAAACAATAAATAACGAAAAAAAAACAAACATACTGCAAACAATCTAAAATGCAATAGCACAAGAAGCGGAAACTGATTAGATGAGGAAAGGTACGATAGCTTTGCGACCCTTTGGATAATCCTTGAATTCCTGCTTGTAGGCACGGTGCTTGTTTTGAGCCCAAATGGTCATTTGTACAAAGCCGGCAATTGTAAAAAGAAGTGCTAAATTTAAGAGTTTGTTTTATATCTCAATAAAACGATTACCTGGAACACTCTGCGTCATGATAGAGAAGAACAACCATGACAAAGTTTCATAGGTGTAGTTGGGGCACGAGACCAAATTGAAAAGGCAGGATAGTGGGTTGCCGTCTGGCTTTGGAATTTTTCGCTCTTTGGTTCCTTCGGGACGTAGATTGCGCAACAAGATATGAATTGAAAGATTTCCTTAAGCAAAAACATGTTGTTTTAAATATTTGTATCCATACCGAATTCTGCAACAATGAACCCAGCAAGACCAATGTAGATTTGAAGAAGACCAAAATATGGAGCAGTGTATAGTGGATGATTGATGAAATAGGACACAAATGCACAAAAACCCCAGTAATAGCCACAATTCTTAAGAATAAATTAAAAACAAACTGGCAAGATACCAACCTTGAGTAGATTGAAGCGGGGCATCGTTCCATTTGAAAAGCGATGGATAAATTGCGTCTCGAAGAGTCTCTTTGCATAATGGGCGCACCAGCAGATGCATGCCAAAGTAACAGCATGAGAAATTGGTTTAGCGCCAGCTTCTAAAAAGATCATAGTATAAACATTATTTTAGTAACAACCTTGTCCATAGATAAACGATGGCCTCATGTAAAAAAGTGGATAGATGAAGAATGGACCAGCATATTCGGTCAAGAACACCTAAACTATTTGAGTACTTGAGTAGAAAAAAATCCTTCCGTACCGCTTTCCAAGAAATTTGGGGACCCAAGTCACGAACATACAGCTGGGCATTCTTGGCAATTCCCAAATCGGAGAGTTTCTGTTCATCTTTCAACGCTTTGCCTTTTGGATCAAGTCGAAGCGCCTGACGCTCAATGGATAGAGATGGCTCTAAAACAAATTCATTTAGGTAGATAACTTTGATAAATCAATAATCATTCCTCAATTTTTCAAACAAAACGAACTTTCCTTCGCGATCCGCTTTTTCACCGCAAACACAGTGTCGTCGGGATAAATATCCTGCAACAAGGCAACCTATAACAATAGAATACATTCTGGTAAATAAAAGAGGCGCTTACTTGCTTATCGATTTTTTTTGCGTCAAAAACCTCCAAGTTGAACGAAGCGACCATAACGTCTAAAGGAAAGATTCAAAAAACAAAAGTTTAACCAAAATTAAATAGGTAGAAAAAACGTAAAATAAATTCTAGCTAGCAAAATGGTGTGATGTGAGATAAAATCTGTTGTTGGTCAAGAGAAGGAAAGATAGGATGCAAAAAAAAGGAGCAAGAAACGGGGAAAAGGCAGACTTTTTCGAGATTACCAACGAAAAGTTGAATTATTGATAGGCGTGTGAAGACAAAAGGAAATTTTAGCTTGTTACATTCAGCGTTGGACAGTGAAAAAGAATCGAATCTTAAGCGGCGTTGAATGGATTGAAGGAATGTGTTACAACGGAGCAGAAGAGTGCACGACAAAAAAATGATTGAAATGAATTTTGAAATGACATTTTCTCATGGGCGGTTGTTTAAATCTTAAATGCTCAGGAAAAAGATATTACATGATAAACTGAAACACAATGATCAGAAGGACAGCTAGAACTAGGAGCATATATAAAAGTGATAGAAAACGTTTCGCGGCAGGCTTGGCCTGTGTAAGTCTAATCTCAACTAGGAAAGAGACGTGCCGGCTATCGAAAATCGACTCACCAAGCGTTATCTAAAATCTGTGACTCGAAAAAAAGACAATTTTTTAGAAATTTTTTGATTTTGAATGTGATAAAGTGTACTTGTTTCTAGCTAACGATAAGTTGACCCCTTTTTCCTAGTTGAGCGAAAAATTAATGGGATCTCCATCCGTCGATAGCCGTCCTGCGTTTCGCGCTCATGTTCTCGGCCCCTTCTCGACCTTGTTTACTCACTAATTCGATGTGATTTTCTGCAGTTACTTTTTGAACAGAAACTTCATATTCAACTTTCATTGATTAAAAGCGATTTCAAAAATTTTGTATAATTTTGTGATTTTCAGGGTACGATGATTCGGCGAGCGTTGGACTGTGGCAGGTGCGTTGGCTGCTTACATTATTAATAGCCTATCTTTTCTAAAAAAGGAGTTCATTAGTAGATTGCTTTTTTTGCAGTCTCCGTTCCCTCTCTCTTTCGCCCGTTTGTGGGGTTCGACCAAATCTACCCGATCCCGAAGATGAGAAAGCGATGGAATTGTACAAGTTGTATCGGCCAGAGCGCATCACGCCAGCAAAACGCGGAATCGAATTACTGAAGTCGCCTGGGTTAAACAAGGTTAGTCATTATTTCGTTATTTTATTTTTTTTGGTTTAGGGAATGGCCTTCAGTCTCTTTGAAAGACAATACCTCGGAATTCATGGTTTACTTCCACCAGCATTCATGACAGAGGAGCAACAGGCCTATCGCATCATGCTACGCATTCGAGAAGCTCCCAACGATCTCGCTAGGTTATTTCGGCACTCACCATTGTAAAAAGTTAAACTCTCACTATCAGGTATGGTATTTTGGACGCACTACAAGATAGAAACGAAAAGCTGTTTTATCGTGTACTTTGTGACAATATAAAGGTTAGCTTATTTGAACCATTAATTTACGTTTGAATATAGGAATTGATGCCGATCGTCTACACTCCAACTGTTGGCCAAGCCTGCCAACAATTCGGAAGTATTTACAAAAATCCCAAGTGAGTTGTAATTGTGAACGCCCGATTAATATAGATTTTAAGAGGCATCTACATCACAATCAATGATAACAGCATTAGCAAGATCACGCAAATTCTTTCCCATTGGCCTCATCAAGATGTCAAGGTACTAAAGATGTGTATGACGTATGACATTGACGAATTTTCAGGCAATCGTTGTCACGGATGGTGAGCGAATTCTGGGCCTTGGCGATCTTGGGTGCTATGGTGTGCTTACTTTTGTTGGTTTACTTTAAATCGTTTTTAGGTATTGGAATTCCTGTCGGCAAGCTCGCTTTGTACGTGGCTTTAGCAGGAGTGCATCCAGAATGGTGTCTGCCTGTTTTAATCGACGTTGGCACGGATAACCAGGCATGGATACTTTATTTGTAGAAGAAATAAGGGACGGTAATTCCTAGTTGAGACTCGGCAAAGAAAACTTTTATCTGATTTTAAAATGTTTGTTTAGGCTTTGTTGAATGACCCGATGTACACCGGACTTCGGCGCAACCGTGTTAGAGGCAAAGAATATGACCGTTTAATCGATAATTTCATGAAAGCTGTCACGAAAAGGTTTCGAAGAACGTAAACAATTTCTTAATTCCGCGCAGATTCGGAATGGACACTTTGATTCAATTCGAAGATTTTGGAAATGCTAATGCTTACCGCCTTTTGGATCGGTATCAACAGAAATACTGCATGTTTAACGACGATATTCAAGGTTCACTTTAAACAAATTGTATTAATGTATCTTTAATTTAAAGGAACCGTTCTCCTCTAGATTGCTTGTTATAAAGTGTTGTTCATTTTGCCTTTTACTAACAGAATGTGAGTCATTACAGGTACCGCTTCGGTTGTGGTGGCTGGATTGTTGGCATCCACAAGAGTAACGAAAAAGAAGTTATCACAGGAAAAATTCGTGTTTCTCGGTGCTGGTGGAGTAAGTTTTATTTGTTTATGGTTTATTATATTATTATTATTATTTATTTAGGCTGCAACCGGAGTAGCGGAAATGTGAGTTATTTGTCTTCTGTTTCTCTATATTTTCCGGTGTTCGTTTTACTAATCGATAAATTTTAGGTGTGTAGGGCAAATGGTCACAGAAGGTTTGCAATAATTCTTATGTTTTAATTGCGATATTCAGGATTGACGGAACAAGAGGCTTGCGAGAGAATCTTCATGATTGACATTGATGGATTGATCACCAAAAAGCGCGCCAATCTTTCTGAAAGGTAGATTTTTAGTTTAATTAAACTTTTGTTTTTTAGACACCAAAAGTTTGCTAAAGATTTGCCGGATACTCGCAATCTTCTGGAAGTTGTAAAAACTGTAAAGCCTGGAGCAATCATCGGTAATTATTTTTTTGATAGTTCACTTTGTAGCATAATTTTTAGGAGCTTCTACCGTTGCGGGCGCATTTACTGAAGAAGTCATCCGGGAAATGGCTGCCAACAACGCTCGTCCTATCATTTTCGCACTCTCAAACCCTACAAGCAAAGCGGAATGTACTGCAGAAGCTGCTTACAAATACACGAATGTAACATCTCTTTCATGTTCTCAAATAAATTTTTTTAGGGAACAGCACTTTTTGCTTCTGGATCACCATTCGCGAACGTCGAACTCAATGGAAAACTGTTCAAGCCCGGACAAGGCAACAACGGTAAGATTCTTGTTGTAGATGTAATCATCTTTCCTGGGATTTTAGCTTACATCTTCCCTGGTGTGGCATTGGGCGTAGTTCTTTTCAAAATTCGGCACATTGACAACGAACTCTTCTTAATGGCTGCAAGAGTAAGCTTTGTTAGCCGCTTATAGATATTCATTTGTTTATATTTAGAAAGTGGCTGAATCAGTGACTGAGAAAAGTATGAACACTTATTCTCGAATTTATCCACGCCTCAAGGATATTCGTGAGTTATCGATCAAAATCGCCGTTGAGATTGCTGAGCATTGCTATCGAAATGGTACTGCTACCCTTTACCCTGAGCCCGAAGACAAGGTGTGTAATATTTTTTGAATTTAAAATTAAAATTTCTTTAGGAACAGTTTATCCGGTATCAAGTGCACACTGTGGATTATGAAGAGCTGATCAATCGCTCATATGACTGGCCAGGTATGTTGTATTGTTATGCCATCTTAGGGATAAATTTTTAGCCAAAGACAAGCAACACGGCTTCCCGATTCCCGTCATGAAGCGCCACTCAATGGATGATGAGTAAAGACAACATCAAGGATCTTTAATAGACTTAATTTTGATTTGCGAATGATTAGTTAGCCATTAGCGTTCTCTATATTATCTTTTTTGCACTCTTTGCTGGTTTGTGATCGAGTTTTATAGTTAACATGCTTTAGTTACATTGCTATTACTAACTTGCCTCTGATATTTCTCTAGTGTTTGTATTTAATGTAAATAAATTGATTTTATTCTGGTGATTGTGTTTAGTGTTGATTGGGCCGTTTATCGGGGAACACTCGTGTCTATCGCTTCAAAAAGCAACGTGGCACACGTACATTGCAATGGCTCGTATTCGACGTTTCACCCGAAAATGATAAAACCTTTCTTTTATTTTTTAAAATCTTTTTAGGAAAACGAATAAAAAAATTCTTTTTCTTTTTAGTTATGAGGTTGGGAGTGCTTTTAGCCGTATTTTGTGCAATCGCTTTGGCGGATCGAGTCTTGGTGCTTGTAGATGACATCAAGATAAAAGAGACACATTCTATTTTTCTGAAGAATCTTGAAGGTAAAATAGTTTTATCCTGCTTTCGGTAACAAAGAAAAAAATTTAGATAGAGGCCACAAAGTAACGGTGAAGTTGGCTGATGACAACACCCTTTCCGTGTTCAAGTTTGGCGAACTTGCATATGAAAATCTTGTGCTTTTTGCTCCATCAGTTGAACGTTAGCTTTAAAACATTGCTAAAAAACCAAGGGAAATTTATAGAGTTTGGCGGGTCACTTTCATCAGAAGAAATCTCGCAATTTGTGGATGCGGGAGGAAATGTTTTGGTTGCCGGCGACTCAAACATTGGAGAAGCTATTCGAGATATTGCCGCCGATCATGGGTACTTTTTAGATTGTTTTTATACCTTCAAATTTTAATTAGTTTTGAATTCGATGAGGCTGATACTTCTGTCATTGATCACTTCAACTATGATGTCAACTTGGTAATATTTTTTTCTTAGTGACTTCTACTAATGCTGTTCAGGATAATGGAAAACACACAACTATTGTCGCAGATAAGAAACAACTAACGAAGACGGCGTTGGTTGTTGGAGATACCTCTAAGCTAAACAGCATTCTATTCAAGGTGAAAACCGGAGATCATATGCGCGTAACCTGTATTTCTCTAGGGAGTTGCTTTGGTTGCCGCTAAGAAGAATAAACTAAAACTTGATGTGTTGACTGCTTCCTCAACTGCTTATTCGTTCAAACCCGATGCACCAATTGACGAGGTTATTTTTGTACACAATCATGGGGTATACACAAATTGCATTTAGTATCCGGCAGCTATTGGTAAACAGATATTATTGATCTCTGCACTTCAAGCTCGTAACAATGCTCGTGTTGTCTTCTCGGGATCACTTGCTCTCTTTTCCGACGCTTTCATCAAAGCTTCAGTGCAAAAAGCCAACGGACAAGACAAGTGCGGTGTTTGATTTGCTTTCTTTATTAACTTCTTTTAGGCAAACTCCATCTGGTAATGCAAAACTCATTGACAGTTTGACCCGTTGGACTTTCAAGGAAAGCGGCGTTTTGCGAGTTAAGAGCGTTCGTCATCATAAGGTAAACACTCGATGATAATAGAAAACTTTGGTAACCTTAAGGTTGGTGAGAAAGTGCCTCCACGTGAATACACCATCACGGAAGATGTGGTTTGTTGATTTATGTGTTAGCTCGAAAAAAATTATTCAGAAATACACAATCGAGATTGAGGAACTTCAAGAGGGCAAATGGACACCTTTCAAAGTAAGTTTTTATAAGTCCTTTCCAGACAAAATCTTTATTCGACGGCACAATTTAATCGGATAACTGATAATATTAGACGAGATTGGCCTTGATAAAGTCATCGTTGAACTTCTTGACTTGTTCCGCATATTTCCCTTCGGTTCTAAGCTAAATCTAAGAATCAGTTATTGGGCGGGCAAAGCAAAAAAAACCTGATTGAATTCTAATACGGCTTGAATCACAAAACATATTGTGTTTCAGTCTGGACAGAAGATGCACGTTGAGCGGGAAAATCTTTGAACACATCCACCAACTAAAGTCATTATTAGGATAATCTTGGGTTAAACAACTCACTCTCGTTTCTCTTCCCTTCAAAAGCCTGGTGATAACGCAATTAACGGCCATAACCGAACCCGTTCGACCGACTCCTGCTGAGTAGTGTGCCATTATTGCGCCTTGCTAAAACAGGCCATTAAGCTATGCATAATGATGCGCAAAGTTTATCGAGTTGAAATAGATTAAACTTCAAGAGAAAAAGCAAGACTTTTGTATCTTTGAGCACTCCGCGGTCTAGCCACGCAGTCATTTGAATAAGCTAAAAAGGTCCAATTCAAAAGTAAAGGAATCATCATTTGCCTTAATGGTCGAATTAGTGTATCCTTCTGGCAGGGCCTTCACCGTGTAGACTTCGAAGCCGAGTTCTTGAATCACCTAACAAACTTTGATTCTCCAAGAATATTTAAAGTATGCGTATCTTTTTGGTATTGACCGCATATTTCTTTCCATGATTCACGAATTCATCTTGTTTCATTGGCCAATATTGAGTGCATTTAGCTTTTCCTCCTTCGACAAACTGTAAGAGGAAAAGCGCACTCGAATACGCAAATAGCTAACCTGACATAATACTGCAATCACGATAACACCTTCTTGATGCACAAATCGCCAGTGATCACCAATCGTGGCTTAATACAGAAATTTGCTTGAAAGCACAGTCAAGTGGTCCTTGAGCAGTGATAAACGTTTTTTTATGCGCCATCTAGCTTGACCTTGTTAGCATCAATGTAACTAGCTAAACATTTAAGCCAGCCCAGCCTTACTCCTAAGTTTACCTTCAGGAGGAGACAGCAGGGTGACAGTGATTTGCGTGGGCTCAATGCACACAACGTCCTTGTATCTATAAAAATCGTATAGCTAACCAAGAAAAATTACCGAATAGACCTATTTCTTTCCGGATTTGCGGTGAATGATGGATATTCAAGGTTTGGCGGTACGTGGGTCTTCATTTATGCGAATCCTTTGCGAAGACCTTGAACACCCATTTGACAGTAGTAGTTGACGAACTGCTAATTTTCCTTTCACTGTTGAAGTCCAGAGGAACCTAAAAAGTTGAAAAAATTGCGCTTACGCAAAATCTATTTACCTTCCATGCTTCGGGAATAATGCCTTAGGGTGGCTTATCGGAAACAGCTTCAACAAGATTCGAAACCATCTTTGGTACCTTTTTAGTTTGTTCTCTCTTCGGCCTGGTTTACGTTTTCGGCTCTCTGAAGCAAGGTAGTAGACTATAGTATAATTCTTAACAAACCCTCTTCTTTCTTGGCTCCTGTTCCTTGTTTCTTCTTCAACGCCCGTTTGCTCTGTTCGGTATTCTTACATTCTTTCACGTTTTTCAAGGCTTTTCTTTGGCTTTTTCTGCTTTCTTCTCGACAACCGGGGTCTTTACTTTTTCCTTTCACGCGTTTCATGCTTTTATTTGAACCAAAAATTGGTTAGAATGAAATAGATTTCTGAGTACCACCCTATTATACCCTTTAGTTATAAAGTAAAACGTACTGGAAAGATGCTGTACAATTACTAATAATTCTAGCTTGTTCGAAAACTCGAAGCACAAAAATAAGAATAAGTTAGAAAAAACTCACCAGCTTTCATCTCTTTCATTTTCAGAGATTGCCAAAAATAAAAATACGAATAAAACTTTTCAGAATTTCCTTCTTTTATTTGATCATTAAAGGCTAATTTACCAACTTAAGATGCAAATGATGAATAAGCTTGCATTAAACTCCAATGTTCCAGGGAAACGACGTGCAACTCGAATTTGTCCGCATTGATCCTTTTGTGCGCACCACCCTCAAGAACAGGTACTGTTGTTGATTTTGTATAAATAACTATTAATTTTAGTAATGGAGCCCTTACTACGACATTCAAATTACCCGACGTTTATGGAGTGTTCAAATTTGTGGTTGACTATCGCCGCACTGGTTACACACACTTATATGACATGCAACAAGTAAGCGAACACTTTTGAGTTATTTAACGTCACGTAGCTTTAAAATGAAAAGATTCAAGAATAGGAAAATTTTAGATGTCGGTGAGACCATTGTGGCACACTCAATATGAGAGATTTATTCGATCGGCTTATCCGTACTACGCTTCATCATTCTCGATGATGATCGGTCTTGTGCTCTTCTCGTTCATCTTTCTCCATTACAGAGTAAGCATTAATTCAGTGCTTGTTAGTTTAGTTCTATTTTTAGGAGCCATCCAAAGGAGATGCTGCTCAACAGAAGAAAACCAACTAATCTGTGATTTTATGAATACTTTTTGCCAGAAAATATCATTTGTTATTTCTGGGGTTGTCTATGTTATTTATTTAAGGTTACGCAGGGAAAATATCACGTTTCTTTATTCTCAAATAAATTATGGTTACAGAGATTTCAGTTTTTGTTCAGTGCATTACAGTATGCCGTCGAGCACTCGCGTCTGTTGGATAGCTAGAGAGAAGAGTTTCCATCTAAGGATTTGATTTTTGGAGAAATTTCAGCTTTACTCACATCATTTTCAAGACATTCTACTGGTTGAGCATTCTTTTGCCAGGCTTTAATTAAAGCATTCACTTTCTCAGCCTCGATCGCGTTTACCTAAAAAGACTTGTACTTAAGGCTTACAGAGGAACGTGTCTGGCTTGTTAGCCGTTTGTGGCTTAAAGATACTGTAATGCCGGATATTTTGACTCTGGAAATTACAGTATCTTTGTAAATAGAATGCAGTATCATGATGTCTGTACAACATTTTCAGCATTCGGTTGCATAGGTTTGAAGCTATACGAGCTTACCTCCAAAATTCCGGCTTTGTTGAGCAGTTCCCGTATTTTTTGCAAGACAACTTTCTGCGTCTTTGGCTGTGACCGGATCTGAGTATTCTTTTTGATATTTTTAGTGTTGCTCTGCGCATACCTCAATAATTTTATTGGATTCCAAGGGTTCGAATAACTTCAATTCGACCATATATTGATCAGCTTCCTGAATCTGCCCGACTTTATCTTTTTCCTTCTTATTTACCTGTGAGTTCAGGCTTGCAAGTGAAGCAATCGGGGTTTTCGGGAATAAACTTCGAGCCTTGAGGATTTCCTAAATTGATTGATAATGTTTTCATCTCAAGAAATACCTGTTGTACCTGTTGGCTACTATTATCAGCATGAACAATCAATTCAACTTCTCCTTCAATTGATGAAAAATCTTGGGCAAATTGTAGCCTCGAAAGACGAGATTCGAATAGCTCTTGTTGATTCTGAAGTTGTTTTTGATATAAGCTTTTATTTATTATCCATTTAAATATCCGATTCAAATCCCAATTACCCTCAAATCATCCGGAAAAATGAACGGCATTGCTGTCTGTATATCACTTTTCATTTTCTCTCGAATTCTTCCCTCAAATTCCGGTTTTCCATTCACAATCGCCACCCTCTCACCAGTGGAAAACACTGCAATTTTTCGTTTTTTCGAAATCCTTTATTTATTTTCGTTTGTTTTGATCGACTTTCTTGAAAGAAAGTGTTGATCCGAGAGATTTCCGATCACATGTCTTCTTTCTATTTTAATTTTTCTTCCTTTTTGGACACCTTTGATTGAAAGCTCTCTGTTGAGAGTTGGAAACTTTTAGGATTTTCGAAAAAGTGAGGTTCCAAGTGTTCCAGTCTCAATTAATTGGATTTTGGCAAATCGAATTTTATTGGGGAGAAATGAATGAGTTGGGCTTTGAAGGAAATTTAGCACAAAATTCGTCATGTTTGTGGAAATTTTGGAGGAGAAAAATATAGCTAATCATTATGAAACAAAAATGGTTGTTTTATCTTAAAATGAAACCTACAAATCCTCGCCATATGTTCTGCACATCGACCACTCCCGAAAATCACTGACACTTTTGACGACATTTTATGGAAGGAAAATTGCTGAATAAGTTTAGGTAAAGTTGGATGAGGCAATGAAAAGGAAAATCGAACAAAAATGAAAGAGTACATTTGCGTAAAGATATAAAAATGTATGTGCCTTCTTTTTAACGTTATCTATGAAACTATGAAAAGAAATATCTATGAAACTATGAAATTCCGGAAAATAATTGACCATGAGTCTAGCTCTGTGAATCTTGAAAAAAATAGTAAAAAGATAAGAAACTGAAGATTATATTCATTATATTCATAAGTCATAACAACTGGGGGATGAGATATTACCAGAAACTGAATTCCTGTAATCATGTCCAAGTTTTAGATCGGTAACTGGTGACTGATTACCTCAAATAACGAACATTTACCAAATAGAGAGATATTTTTATGAGAAGAAAAAGTGATTGAATGGATCTTGTGGGATATCGATACGAATCAGTCAAATATCGGGTCTGATCTAAATGGGAAAAGAAAAGATTGAGAGATGAGATTTCACCCAATTCACGTGAATATCGAATGTGAGAAAAGGAGAAGAACAAGAGGGAAAATGTGGGGAAATGGAATGGGGTGAGAAGGGGAAAAGAGGCGGAGGGGGCAATGGAACAAAGAACGCAAGGAAACATTAGTAGAACAACAACATCCCATCCACCTACATTTAGAAAGACTTCATTATCGTACGTATCGATACTGACTAGATTGTGTTAAGCATTTTCTAAAGATGCAACTGGAAAAGCTACCGTAATCCGGCTGTTTTTCAAAGTTACAAACAGCAGGTGGACCGGTCATCTAGACATTTCCCTCACCGTTCTTGACTAACAGTAAGCTTGTTATGGATTGTTATTAGATCCCAAAAATCTCTACTAAACGTAAAATTGGGCTTGGAATTGCATATTGGACTCAAAATATTTATTCACAATACTCATTCAAAAACTCTAAGCAGCGAAAACGATCAAATGCTAAAAACTCTCAATACACATAACGAAAGAAACAAGTATAGTCAACAACGACCAAAAAAGATGGAAACTAACTACTCGTAAGATCGCACTTGATCGGATGAGGTTACTTCAGTTGAGGGAATGCCATTTGTGGTCGAGCTTCAACGGGGGCACCATCAGCAGGCCAGAATTGAGTGACTGTCTTCCATTGAGTGAAGAATTGAACACCAGCCTACAATTTCAGAAATTTAATTCAACTTTTTAACAAATCAAAGCTACCTTTCCGTAGAAGTTGAGGTCTCCATGGAACGATCCACGGGAGCCAGTGAATGAGAACATCGGAAGAGGTACTGGAATTGGAACGTTGATGCCAACTTGGCCCACATCCGCATCATGGGTGAATCTAAAATGACAGTTTAATATCGTAAACTGCACAATCTCATTGTAAGCAAAATATACTTTAGCTGCTTCAAAAATAAAAATATTTTAATATCACTAACAAGGTAAGGTCACAAGGCTGAGGTGGCCAAATGACATGAGCCATATACCATGCGACGCAGAATTTTATGCTAATTCCAATGCTGCTATCCGTTTTTGCAAAATGATTCGGAGACGCGAGGAATCTGGCAAACAAGTTTGAGGCTAAATTAAAGGTCAAAAATCAGTCCCTACATCACGCTTCTTTCACCATCTCGAAATGTCAACTTGTGGTGTAGTGTATAAGAGTCTTTTTTCCGAAGCACCTATCAAGTTTTTGCTTGGGTTCGATCCCTTCCTTTTCTTTTCATTCATTTTGATTTTTAACCGCTCGAATTCGCTCTATTTTAACTTTCTAATAAGTATTATAACATCTTTAAATGAAAAACTTGATAGCTTTTTCGGAAACAAGCCTCTTATCCACTACACCACAAGTTGACATTTCAAGACGGTGAAAGGAGCCTTATATAGAGGACTGATTTTTGACCTCTAATTTAACCTCAAACTTGTTTGCCAGATTCCTCGCGTCTCCGAATCATTTTGCAAACGCGAGCATCGAAATCAGCATAAAATTCCGCGTCGTAGGTATATGGCTCATTTCGTTTGACCACCTCAGCCTTGTGACCTTACCTTTTAAGTATTCATCTTACCGTCGAGCTGTATTTCCGCTAGTAGTAAAAATGGCGGTTCCATTTCCGTATTTGTTCTTATTGATGATCTCGATAGCCTCATCAAGCGTATCAACTTCCATCACCACCAACACAGGACCAAAGATCTCCTCCTAAATAAAAAAATGCTATATAAAGATTTCTCCAATGCCAACCTTATAGCACTCCATATTGGACTTGACACTCGAAATAATAGTTGGCCCAATAAAGTTGCCATTTTCAAAGCCTAAAAGTTTTTTTTTTCAAATAGAATAATATGATAAAACCCAATAGAAATAAAATTACCTTTCACAACACAGTTCGATCCATCAAGAGGTACTTTGGCTCCCTCCTAAAAGTAAAGATACATTTTATAAAACTTAAAAATAACCTTATTTGCTTTTTTGATGATGCCAAGCACGCGATCCTTGGATTGCTTTGAGATCAAGGGTCCAATGTCGGTATCTGGTTGCCAACCTAAACTCTCACACTAATTGATTTTTAACTGATTTTTAAAAGGATCTCTTAAGCGCAACTAACCCGCATTAACCTTCAACTTCTTGGCTTTTTCGACAAGTTCGGGGAGCCATTGCCGAGCCTCGCCCACCAGAATTGCGGTCGTTAACGCCATACATCTTTGTCCGGCAGCACCGAAAGCAGCGGCAGTTAACTAAAAAATAAGTTTTAATAGAAAGTATACTTAAAGACACTAACAAAAAACTGGGTTTCTTACTTGATTAAGCGTTTGCTCCTTGTTCGCGTCGGGCATGATAACACCGTGATTTTTCGCGCCCATATTTGATTGAACTCGCTTTCCGGTTTTGGCTCCTCTCTCGTAAATGTGTTTTCCCTAAAATTAAATAAACAAGCACATTTGTTAAACACTTACTGCTGTATCAGCACCAACAAAGGAGATAGCTCGAATGTCTGGATTGTCGCAGATAAAATTGACAGCAGCGTGTTGGCCATGAATTATGTTAACACAACCGTCAGGCACGCCGGCTTCCTGATATTAATCATGAATTAAAAAATGATATTAATTTTAAGTCAAAAACCTTGGCCAATTCCACAAGCATCATTGCCGCTCCAGGATCTTGCTCTGAAGGCTTTAGTACCATCGTGTTTCCTGTTGCCAAAGCCATTGGGAACATCCAAAGAGGGATCATAGCTGGGAAGTTGAATGGGCAAATACCTAAAGTTTGCTTATTAAAGTAAAAAAAAAATCAAACCAACCAGCAGTTACACCAAGAGGAGTTCTGTAAGAGATTGTGTCCATATCCCGAGACACATTTGAGAGCGATTCTCCTTGGATCAAAGAAGGGACTCCGCAGGCTGAACAACTTGTCAACAACTACAACAACAACTCAATAAACCGTGCTCAACAACTTGAAGTCCTCGCATCACGTCTCCTTCAGCATCAGGCAAAGTCTTTCCTTGCTCCTTGGTGATATTGGCGGCCAATTTCTTCATGTCACGCTTGATCAACTCTTGCAGTTTGAACATCGTTTGGACACGCGAAATAACTGATCTAAAATTTCAAATATTTAATTAAAAAATTGTAACTCTACGTTCGACTCCATTTGTCAAAAGCAATCTTCGATGAGTCGACGGCTGCTTGCATTTCCGATTGGGTCGCTTTGGGAACTCGCGCAATCACCTCATTCGTTGCCTAAAAGCTTATAATACCAAGGCAAATCGTTTAAAATTTCACCTTATAAATAAATAAAGCTTACCGGATTGGTGAGATCTATCCATTCGTTTGTCTTTGATTCAACAGCATGTCCATCAATCCAGAGTTTCACCGTGTCCTGATTGCCGAGAACCCCTCGAGAAGTGTGCAGCGACTTGCTCTAAAGCAAAATATTATGAATCTCTATGGAAGCTTTTCATCAATGTTTTAGCATCCAAATCTTACCGAAATTTGCGAGAGCCGTGACAGCATGTTGTACCCTAAAATTTCAACAATTATATATTGCTGTTAACAAGTTAGACAAAAATAAATAGTTAGCATAAAAATCGATTAAGATATCTAATCGTTTTAAAACAGGAAAGCAACACGAGTGAGCAGTTCAAATTGCCAAGGAAATAGTGGTGGGCTGGGAAAAGAAAAATTTCACGAAACTGCCTGAAAAACGCCGGGAGAAAAGGGAGAGGAAGTCTGAAAGAGACGCAGAGATCAAACAGATTTAGAGCAAAAAATGAGAGAAAGGCCAGGGTCACCCCACGTGCATTCACCCTACCCCTGTCTCTTTTGCCCATCGAGATCAATCAGCTCCTTCGTTTTCGCGAAAATATTCTCGAATTTTGTAATCAATGTGGAAAAACGCTACATATTACATAAACGTCAACAAATTGCCTACGCTCTGTTTTGTATTATTTCAAAATTTAAAGGATCGTAGAAGTTTAGATATCAATTATAGAAACAACCAGAGATGTGAACATAAGAAAGAGAAAGAATCAGACAAAGAAAAATTAAAAAATTGATGCTTTCTAATTTGTGAATATTTTTTGGCGAACGAAACTTTTTGCGCAAAACGTTGTGGATGCTTTGGGAAAACGAGAGAACACGTTAGTTATCAGAAAATCACAAACATTTAGAGCTTGTCACTAAAACTTATTAGTCGAAATCGTGCTAAATATTCAAGCTGAGGAATCTTTCGCGTAAAGTTATTTGCTGGGCTACCAAAAGCCTTGTGCGTACACATTTTCTTATCTCAACTTGTTTGTGGTTTGGAGATCATTACAAACTTGTTATGCATATAACTTTAACTTACACTTATTTATAGACTGTTGGAAATCTGTTATCAGTTAAAAGATCTTTAACTGATCGACACACACAGAGTCAAGTAAGTATACTTTCAGAGTACCGCCCCCAGTGCCCCCTTGCCATTGGCAATCTACGGTAATTAGCCATTTTCTCGCTGCCCCCTTGCCATTGCCAGTAACAAGGGGGACACTGGGGGGCGGGGGCGGTACTCTGAAAGTATACAAGTAAGCTACATATCAAAATTTGAATACATGCTAAATTAGCATGGTGAATTAAAATTTGGGGATTTTCGTTTCAATGAATCATTCTGTTCATCTTCTTGCTGCAGCATGGTTGTTTCCTAACGACTCTATGTTGACAACTTCCCTTAAGGAGCTCCTCTCGACTACACGGAGCCTATCCAAGTTCTCATTGATGCAAACGGTTTTCGCTTGACTTCAAAGCAGGGAGGCGATGTGCTTTTCGGACCCGGCAACCCTAAGATTGTTCATCCAAGAAGCTTGGCTCGCAATCGATTCTTTCACATTGAGCTCATTCTTTCAAGAATCCCACATTTGGTTGGTTTTTACTTTATATTTCACTGAAAAGCACAAGTCTGGACCACTATATTGCAACATACATAGATTTTTGGAGGTGTGCGAACTAAAGAAAACATTTTTAGTTTCAGATATTTTAATTGGAAAAATAAGATTTTTGATTTTGGTTTGACCAAAACTTACTTTTAAGCAAAAAAGGAAGAATGCATCAATGTGATAAGGTTTAATTTAGCTCGTTAATCAGTTTGCGGTTGCCACCGCTCAACAAGCGTGGAACGTTATGTTGGAATTTGATGATTGTGTGCAGTTTTATCCTATGATGGCCGAATTAGGTCGTCAGCAATATGCGGGTATATTGTTTTTCTAATAATCGGGTTTAAATACTTTGGAGAACCGAACGGGTTTTGTAAATAAAGATGTAATTTCAATGTAAACTTTTCTTTGAGAAAATTGTAATTGTGGTCTGACTGAAATGTAATCTGTTCAATGGTTTACGATAAGTTCATTTTTAGAAAATCTTGACTGCTGGGCTTTGATGGGCTATGTTCCTCCATCTTTCAATACATCATCAATTCATCGTTCGTGAAAAATTCTTATTTATTTCGCCTTTGTTATACATTCAGATATGTACTTTGTGCTTTTCTTGTAATTTTTGTGCCTCTTGACGGAAATAAATAGAGGGAAACTTCCATACAAAATTTAAATAGTATCTTGTTATCAACTTAATCCACTGAATGGACAATTTACTGCAGCTCTGGAACCAAAAACCCATTTATTTTAGAAGCAATTTTACCCGAGCAAATAAATATTACACGATAGAAAACTTTTTGGATAAATTACAATAAAAAGTCACGAAAATTGAGGCAGAAGGTGAAAGAAACCAAACAAAGGCAACACAATCATTGAAGTATGAATACAACAAATCTTCTGATAAGTACGCGTTGCAAAAAGATATATCACAGCATTACATTTTAGGATGAAACAAGATTATCACTAAGGAAACCAAAAAAAAAACAAGCCTGATCACTACCATTATTCGTTCATCAGTCGAAACAATGTAATAGCGACGCTTCTGACCCCATCGAGATAACTAGAGCATTTAGGCTAGCATAGGAACAAAACGTTAACTGACCTGAATACTTTCGATTAATAAAATCGCTTCCTCATTTGTGCTTTGGGTAGCCAGACGGCCTTATATATATAGAATCCGACGCCACAGAAAACAAGAGCCAGAATGAAGAAGAAAATCTTAAATGTAGAATTGTAGAATGGATAAGGTAGTTGTCCAATTTCTACCTTCATGCCCCATCCCCATCCTTGTGATTCTTCCACGATTGGAGCGCTTTCTTTAACGGCTTTGTGTTCTGGAATCATTGCGGGGAAAGATGAATGTGGTGGTGCATCCAAAGCGCTACTGAAACAAAAAAATATTTTGAATAAATACCTTAAAAGACTTACACTTTAAAGGTTGCGAGCTCATGATTATTTGTGAGATCTCCGGTTGAAGCAGACATTCCAAAGATGTAATTTGTTGGCAAACGAACATCTTCATTTTAAGAATTACCTAGTCATAATCAGTTAACACTTACCAGAGATTGTGGTGCATTGGGTCCATTTAAAGTCTTCGTATTGTGCATAATATATTTCCAAGTTTTCCATGTAGTATCTACAAATAAAAACTATGAGATACATAAATATTAAACCTCACCTAATTAAAATACGAAACACTTTGTTGCTTCGAGCATCTGAGTCAGGACTCTGCGCACCTCCACTAAAACCAAAATGAATAAATTAAAGACAAAAAACATACGCAATATGACAATCTCCAAGTCTTAGGTTTTCACCGTCTTTATCCCAATCGAGAGTCTTTGTTCCATCGTTGAGCACAACAGAAATTCTGAAATTGGTCACTTGAACAAAGCCTATTTGCCAAAAAACAACCTTGGATACGCGTCGTGGTTGTTCACGTCGTTTTTGTAGGTGTCAAAAACTAAAGAAGTAAAAATATTTAAACTTTCACTTAAGACAAGAAGACATTACTAAACATTGTTGACAAGTCTAATTCAGAAGTACCTAAACTTACATATGCCGATTCCCTTGAAATTCTCATTGACGCCAAAGACAGGTCCGGGGAGTGCAGGATCAGCAAGATACCAGAGAGCAATACCTTCTGCATGCAATTTACCCGATGAGCCATAAATTCGGATTGATGCCTAAATATCGGCTTTATAAGAGGAAGATTTCAAGTGTACCTGTGCTTCCCAATCGCGTTCTTGGATGCGATTTCGACTCCATAACGTCCCTCGCATTGATCGTTGATCCCTCGTCAAACTGATTCGGTTGTTAATCATTACGGCATCTCCTAAAAAGAAAAACACACACATGAGAAGCTAATAAAAATTCAAACCAGTTGAATCCCATCCTGTATAGAGGTTTGGAAAAGGTGGTTTAAGCTCGAAATCCCTGATTGAAAAGCCGCGTTCCTCGTCGACATGAGAGCCTAGACAAAAAAACCCTGTTATTTTATTGAAACAAGTATTTTTCGGCTATTGCAAAATAAAAAACAGATAGAGACTCACCGACGATCGGCGGATTTCCTTCTGCATTTAAACCCAGGTATAGATGAGCCGTCAAGCAGCACAATAAGAGGGATTTCATCCTAAACAATCAATTGATTATTTTGTGCATCGAAAAAAAATAAACAAGGTTGGCCAAACAATTTCAATTGTATAGTCTTAATGCTGATGGTGCTTAGGATTTTGAAGGGAAAATTCGTGAAATGCCCTTTCCCATGGGAACACAGTTAAAAACGTTAATAGAAAAGGACGTTGTCGATGCCACGATGGCGTTTTTGTGTCTAATCAGTTGTAACATGAACTCAACGCGAGGAAATAATGAGAATTTTTTAAAAAGCAAAGTGAAATTGAGTACGAATTGTCACAAAGCTTTTGAAATACGTCAAATCTAAACAAAAATCTTGATGTTGTTACTTAATTAGCCGATTCTAGTAAGGAATTTTTTTTTGTTAACAGTGTTAACAGTAAAGATAATTTGTGGTCCGGAATAAAAGCATGGCTTCAATTAAAACTAGGTAGGTTGGTAGGTAGGCATGTACTCTCGAAACTTTTAAAAAGATGGGGTAAAACACGAAGTGAGAGAAAAAAGCAAAAAATAGCACATTTGAGGCAGTTTCAAAATTTGCATTTTGTGATTACCATTTGAACGTGAAATAAATTTCCGTGAAACACCCGATATTATTCATTTCTCATTTTTCTTTCTATTCATTTCTATTCTATTCTACTCATCTTCATAATGGTTTCCTATCATTGGATATCGGTGAGTGATTTTTGTGTATAGTTCAGGTGTTTTCCCTCTTAAACTTTATCGGTATGAAAATAAAGTGCTTTATATACCTATTTTATTTTATTGTTATTTTACTTTTAAAAAGACAATTAAGTCTTTGTGAGTGAGGACGTTAGTACTTTGGTGATTGGGGGGCACCTATATTTTTGATTTTTTCACTTTTCTAGGGGTAATCGAGGGCGCTCAGCACGAATTTAACATTTTTAGCACTTTAAATGGAACTTTGAATTTGTGTACTCAAGCTATCGACTATTGGGGCACTTTTCAAGATCAAAACTAGAGCCAAAACCATTTTTCTGCGGTAGTTTTATGTGTAGATTCCAAAAAACGCAACGAGAGCTTGGGGAAATGCGTTTTAAGCCAAGTTTCGGAACTCCAAAGAGGCAAAACAAATTGAAAAAATATTTTTTGAGATTTTGACTCATGTAGGGGGCCACATGGTCGAAACTTGGAAAAAGTATTTTTTTATTTTGCTTCAATTTGTCCAGAAACGTAATCAGTAGGTTAAATTATGCCAGAAGAAGTGTTTTTGGTTTCAAGAAATGTTTTGAGAGCCCATTTTTTAGACCTCTTCCCTATGTGCATCCCTCCAATCACAGAGTATGAGCGCGCACTTTGGAGCCCCGAAACTTGGCTTAAAACGCATTTCCCCAAGCACTCGTTGCGTTTTTCGGAATCTACGCATAAAGCTACCCAAGAAAAAGTGGTTTTGAAGGAAAAAAAAAAGTGTCCCGCCTAACCCTAATAGCGCCTAGAAGGTATTTTTCAACATGTCGAAATGCCGGCTTTTCAATTGAAAACCTATGCTAAAACTGTCAAATTCATGCTCAGCGCCCTCGATTACCCCTAGAAAAGTGAAAAAGTCAAAAATATAGGTGCCCCCCAACCACCAAAGTACCAGTGCGTTATTTTATTTTCTGAACTAATAGTACAATTTTATATTACGTTAACTATTTAGAGCGATGGCTAGTACTCATTGTGCTGACTTCTCGGCACCGCTTTCTTTGTGTTTTGCGCGTTGACGATTTGTGGAAAGAAAGGGACCACGGCAAATCCGAATGTACCGAAGGCAACAAAAGCTCCCGTAAACGTATGATGACTCTTCGAGGTGCAAACTCTGGTGTTTCAAAGCCACAAACGACAACCAATACCGCAGAGGCACCAAAAGATGACCAGAAAGACAAAGCCAAAAATGACTAAAGGAGAAAGAAGCTGTTTGTTTTGATTTAAACTTTGTACTTCTAAACATTTTGATCTAGGAAGGCAAGGAAGGCGAAAAGGAATAGTATCCAGATGTCAAATCACAAAAGGAAAAGAGGCAAGAGCAATTGGAAAATGTACGATATTTTTTGCCTTAAAATCCTTGTTAAGCTAAATTTTTTAGGAGAAGGGAAAGAAAAAGATCAAAGAAGGCTTCTATCAACAAAAAAGTTACTCTTGACAAGATCAAATCATTGGAAGTAAGGATTTTATTTGTTACTTATTCAAATAGAAGTTTGCGGTCCTTTTATGGTTCTTGCTTTAGAATGAACAAACCGAGAAGAGTAAGAAATCACAGAAGTCAAAGAAACGAGCAAAGAAGCAAGAAAAAGAGAAGGAGGAAAAAGGAAAAGGAAAAGAAATAGAAGTACTTTGTCGACAACTTCAGCAAAGTGTACATCAGTTTCCGGTGAATAAACGCTTTGTAATGTTTCGATAATATAAAGTTGTGGTTAACAAATTCTTTATTTATAAACGAATAAGGCATTTTTGTTTTTGAGGGTTAAAAAGTCACTTTCGTAATGGATAAGGCACCGGTGCAGAAATTGAAAACAGACAAATTGAACTAGATGTAAAGAACGTTTAAACAATGAATAAATAATGCAAAAATCAAAAAAAAAATACCCGAAAAGAAAGGATTGCAAAAATCCCTGAACACAGATTTCATTTATGGTCTCTTTTAAAGGAGAAAAAAAATCACGCAAGGGTAATAAATATCGAAATAGATTATGAAACTATTTTTGAATAAGTTTAATCAAGAAATCCTCATAATTGATTGTTGAAGCATATTTCTTTCCAAAATCTGAGATTGCCATTCGGCGTTTGATATGTGTGAGTTGATAACTGAAGGGATAGTTTTTCTCACATAGAGTTATGAGTTTCATTTTCCATTCTATTTGTATTCATGAATACCCGGAAACGGTTTAGTTGTTTGAAAGAGATCATTTACACTTTCATTTACACTTTCAATTTCCACTTACTTCTCCACTTCAGCCACATTTCTGTTCGTTAGATTGAGTAGAGTTAAACGAAGAAGTGATGGGAGACATTGACTAAAAGATAGAGAAAATTAATTCTATGTAGTGGATTTTTCTGTATTTATTGTGCTACTTGTGGATATAACTTACGATGAAACAATCAATCCATCCACAAGTGGGCCAGGATCACCAAATCTGAAAGCGATTTTTGAGTTTCAAAAACGCTTGATAATAATTTATATGTAAATTTTGAGTACAGCACGACATTCGTATGAACAAAATCTGTCTATAATTTGTGAAGACAAAACAAAACAGTACAACAGTTTAAGTCTTGTAGACTATAGTCCAATATAGACTACAGTAAACACAACATTTTAACATAATCTCACCTAGTCGACGTTCCACGAATCGCAACTTGGATGAGTCCTGGCTCGATTGGATACAGGAATATCACTTGATATGGAATTCGAGAATTCCCGCCTTGTGTATTTGGAGATAATTGAGTCGCATTGAAACGATCATTTCCTGTATCACACGAGGGGAGAAGATCTTCTGAAAAGTAATAAAGATTGTATAATAGTTTTCGTAAAAATGTACCTATGGGAAAGTATAACAGATCCTCGTATCTTTCAAGCCATCCAATCAACACACGCAAATCAGTGTTACGACGGGGAAGGGCGTTTGTCCCTGAAATTTGCATAGATATTGAATATCGATTACATAAGTATTGTTATAAGAGATATAGAGATTATTCTTTGTAAACTCACCTAGATTGCTTCCATTTCCCCCGGAATATGGTTGAAGTGATGGTTGATTGATTGAAAGATTTCCTCCATCATTGCTCATATTTGATACATTACTCTTTGAACGAATTCCTTGTCCATTTTGATGATGAACATCTCCTCTTGCATGCATTCTTAAAAAAATATGATAAAATGAATAGCTTTCCGTTTTTCAAAGAGTGAATTTACTGGAAAATGAGTGAGTGTTTTTAAAGTAAAAACAAGTACTAACACATCATCGGAAGAAGTTCGTCCAGAGTACGATTTAACGGAAGATCTTCTTGCAGATTGTGGTGGTGGCATTTCTTGTTTGAAAAGGGAAACACTTCTCTCGGATGGAGTCACAAAAGCGATCTCTGTTGATGAATTCGACCACCAAAGAATGTGTGTCACTCCATCGAGAATATAATGGTCAACCGGCTCTCGTTCTTCGTACGGTTCTGAAGAATAAAAGTCTTTCTATTTTGCATCAGTTACGGTGGAATTCTTTTCGATTCTTTCCAATCATTCCACTTACTCCTATCCGATGAATATGCCGTGCTTGTATGTCCTGTCCATCCTTCGTGTTTTTCCACTTCAACTCCTTCACCCAATTCACTCAACAAATGACAAAAGTCCCCACTCGTGTTCTGGATATTCAACTAAAACCTTTTTATTGCTAATTAATCCCTTCCCTCTACCGCATTTTCCAAAATATCCACCGCACTTCGTTGTCCGACTTTCACATAGAAAATGAATGCCGTTTGGAGTGATCGGTTGGGACAACTATCAACCATTTCATGAAGATCACGATAGAAATCAACACTAGAATTGTTGCGTGAGATAAGTTCTTTAATAACAAACTTTTGTCCGGAATCGAGATAGATAAATTCGGATCCGAAGACATCTTTGTCGATTAAACCCATATCATAAAGGAAAACACGGATTGAGTTGCACACTTGCACTGTTCTGAAGATGACAAGGTATATTTGTATTAGGGCTGTCCATTTTCGGTCTGATTATCGATAGGTGTAAAACGGAAAAACGAGATTTGGCCACTTCAACGGCTACTTTTTAACGGTTTTTAGATCAAAAGATAGAGCTTGGAAAATACTGCCTTCTTGTAGCAAGAAATCCTGAAAATTAGTCGTTGAAGTGGTCAAATTTCGTTTTTCCGTTGTACACCTATTGACAATCAGATCGAAAATGAACAGCTCTAACTTGTATGCAGTTTAAATCATGGTAGAATCCATGCACTGTATTAAATTTCTTTTTCTAAACAAACTTTGGTGGTTCAGCTCTTCTTTGTTCTTCTTTGAGTGCCGCCCAAATATTCCTCTCGTCATGTCGAGTAATCCGTGTATCCGATAAACGATTGATGATTGACTCAACTTCGGGTGTTGATTGTAATTCACAGATCGAAGAATCCCTAGAAAGTATTATTCAGTCAATCGTAGCTTTCAAAATAAATAAAAGCTTCGGTTCTTTTCCGTTATACACCCACAAAAATAAACCCCCGATCATTTCCATTATACATCCGCAAAATTTGCATCCTTCCATGAAAATGAACAAGGAAAACCACAGAAAATTCTTCTTCTGCTATTTCCTGACGGTGGATTCATATTTCGCTTACCGACTACCGAAGCCGATGCAATCTCGTTCTTTCAACAACGCCGCATCTTGCTTACTACTCTGAATATGCGCCAATCATTACGTTATAAAGCTATCGCGTAATCAATCTCCGATACAACACCACGGTCGACTTCAACAACTACATGAGGGATTTTTCCGTGGAATATTTGGTGAACAAGCCGAGTGAAAAATGAAACACAATCGATTTTTGTGGATGTATAACGGAAAAGAACCGAAGTTTATTCCCCTCGAGCCTCTATGAGAATAATTACGGTATATTTGATCGGAAACTCACAATTTACACGAGATTTTATAGAATTCAGGCGGAATGACGAATTGTTCCCCGAGAGTTGGCGGATTGGGTGGTGGAGGACGGGGAGAGACAAAAGATGATGGGGATGAAGAAGATGAAGAAGGTGACGGTGGAGTAGGAAGTGAAGATGGACTGAGGGGGGTCGATGATTGTTGGGAAGAAGACGGGCAACTCTTTTGTCCATTCAACACTTCTTTCGGGGCTAAAATAAAATTTTATAATTTTTTGCAACTCCCAAACGATTTCGCAAACTTATTTCAACCAACCTTTCTCATTTTCCGTTGTTCCCAACTCGGTAAATGGTCTCAATTGAGCGATTCCAATTGAAGCTGGAAAATGGTAATGTTTGAATGATGAAATGAAATGAAATCAAGTCATGGCTTACTTACCAGCATGCATCGGACTTCGGCGGACATAAACAATACAAGATGAGCCTGAAATTAATGATTGTATATGAACCACAATGTCAATCGGATAGCGTAATTTATGTAACTGGATTGATGAACTAACCCGAGCAAAACGATGGTATATGAGTTGCTTCATGAATTGAAAGAAGAGTGTCTCCGTTGATAAGAAAATGCATAAAACGAGGAGTATCAATCATTGATGGACCACAGTGATATAATAAACGACGTTCATCACCAATCGGACGCTGAACACGACCCTGGAAATGAATTGTGGAGATAGATTTTATTCTTCAAAGATTATGTTTTTAAAACTGACCACAACACAAAATAGAGAGAATAGAAGATATTCAGCTGCTTCGAGAACTCGTTTACTTGCCGCTTTCTTCTCATTCACGGGAATTTCCTGGAAATTTTATGTGAACTGCACTTCTTGCATGTATTAAGCTGTCCAGAAAGTCTTTTCGTTCCTTTTTGTACTTCCTTTCGTACTTCCTTTCGAAAACGGGAATACCAAAAGGAACAAAAAGACTTTCTGGAACATATGGAATATATTTTTACTAACATGTGTCCTCGCTCCAGTCACTCCCAATTGAACAGCTTCAGCCACCGTATGTAGAACACTTTCACATTCCGCTAACATTGGAGCCGCTGTCAGCCAGGAGACAATACACGAATAAGCTGAGACAACCTGGAAATGGCAATCTTCTTTCCACATTAAACACTTCTTTCACTCACACTTGAATGAAGATCTTTACTATGCATTGGTGGCGGTTTCATCAATTGAGTCTCAATGAAACGGCAGAGTGATGAAACGATCAATGAACCGGCTGACATATCACCTAAAGTTTCGATAGTCGATCTTTTGAAGAAATTCAGTCAATCTTGAATACTTTTATGATACTTTTATGCTTTTCATTATATTCACTTACGATTTGAGAAAAGAACGGCCGAATGAAGTGATGAAATTGTGTGTAGCACATCAATAGCAGCCAAACAAACAGAGAAATCACCGGCCCATTCTTGACGAGATAAACGATCACAAATCGCAGAAATGAGTCCACGAACAAATGAACTGCAAAGACCTAAAAAAGGAAATGGAAATCAAATATCAATGAAAGCTGAAGCATTTTACCGAAAAGATAATTCTTCTTTCGGACTAAAATGAAAAGAATTTGAAAAGGATAAGAAAAATATACGATTTCTCACCAATGAGTCGCTTCATTTTTAGACCTAAACCATTAGGTGAATTTCACCGTGCATTTTCATTTGTCAAATCATTTGCTACAAAAATTCAGCCAAAATTTAGCTCACAGCCAATTTCTGATATTCAATTAAAAGTGTCAACTGATATCGGCTACCGTATCGGCTTTATTATTTCGCAAACCTTTTTCCGGTTGTCCTTGATTTATCGATGTGGCAATTCTCATCATTTCTCTCATTTGCTCTTCATTTAATCCAAGATCAAAAGTCGCACTTTCCACCACCAATACAGAACACATTGCTTAAAGGAAAGGTGATGTTTATAGTTTGAAAATACTCAACAACTCACCCAATGTTAACTGCAAATTCCCGGGATCTGTCTCATTGCGAAGACTGAAGATGAGAGTTTTGTAGAGTCGAGGACGTAAATGGAGATAAGTTGAAGCTGAGGATTTCAATTGAGTGACATTGCCGCCGATTTCTAAAGAAAAAGATATATGATAATTAGTTGAAATACCTACGTGGAATCTTTGTCATTCCAAATACAGTTGGCCAACTGATGACAGTGGCGAGTGAACGAAGACAATGATGTCTCATTTCAGCTTCGGGAAATGATGGATGTAATCTGGAAAGATTGCTTAGTTGCTATCAAAGTTGTTATATGTATCAAAGTATCAAAGTATCAAAGTATCAAAGTATCAAAGCTTCATTTCAGTTTTTTCTTCACAAATGATTCACCTCAACTTGCTGCTCTCAATCAAAACGACATCAAGAGCGAACAACCAATGCGGCAAAAGAGCCTCGATTCCCGAGAGATTCAAACGAAATATCGTATGCCCATAATAGAACAATGAGCACAGAATCAAGCGATCTTTCTGTAAAAGATTTGCTTTTTAGAAAATATAGCTGCTAAACTTCCACAAGTGTTTCATAAATCATCGCGAAGAATTGAGACAATTGTTGTGGAGGAATTGTTTCTGTTGTTCGTTTACTGCAAATGATTCGGGCAAGGGTTCCCACCTGAAATTCATTTCTTTTTATTAAACATTAGACATTTGATTTTCAAAATTGAACCAAAACGATATCTAGCCAAGTTTCAAAACTCACCGCCGTAGCTCTTCCCGCACTGATTCCATTTGTTGATTCGATTCCTCCAAAAGAATCCGATACGGACATTGGATTTGAGGAATATCCACCATGACCCGATGATGAAGCTGTGCTTCCTGCTGAATAGATTATGTATTTTCTCTCTGATCTCTCTTCGTTGATAATTCTCTACCAAAAACAAACCATAACTATCAGATCGTTGTTGGAAGTAATGATTTGTGGGTTGATCATTTCCTCCCGTTGAATGATGTAATGGATTAATTGTTGTTGATGATTGCTGTTGAGTTTGCATTGCAGCTGGAGAATCGTCGAAATCGATACTGCACAATGAGAGACTCGAGATCACATCTGAAATTCGAGTTTGAAATGGATAGAGAAAAATTTGACTATTCTTGGCTACGTAAATTTGAAATGGATTTTTAAAAGGTTGAGGACAATGTGAAGGGTTTTCTCCCAGAAAAAATCTCTTAAATCTTCAAAGGAGAGTTATTAAAGAAAAAAGAAAATATGGGGATATTGGAAGAAAGAATGAATGAATATATAGAAATGAAATATGGGGAATAGCATAATAGGTAGGGAAGGTCATTTTGGGGAAAGGAAAGGAAAGGAGGAAAGGAAAGGAGGGAAGGTGAGGTAAAAGAGATCGAGTTGCCTAGTGAGGGATGGATGGGATAGATTCGATGGATGAGACCGATCTCCTCCCAAACACACTTCAACCTTCCTAGAACCAAAACAGTTACTGCCAAGAGAATTTGAGCATCAAAGTACAAATTATTGCATTTATTAAACACTAATCATTGCATCAAATCATTTCGCCCTTTTTGCCTAATAGAAAGAATCTCTAAGAAAATATGACCACATTTAAGAATTCCGTAAAAACGAAATAAGAAATCATTCACATGGAAAATAGGTGTAGAGCTGAAATGTAAAAGAAAAAAAAGAAGAGATTGGAAAATGGGGGAAATAAGTAGTGCTTGAAGAGAAGAAGAGAAGAAGAGTGGTCGTTGAAGGGGATGGCAAGGGAAAATCCATACACAGACATAGCCTTTAGTTTATCTTTACATGGAAGCCTCTTGTCTTGATTTACCTGGTTCTCAAAACTCTTATGTACAATAGTTAAGGGTTTAAGTCTGGTAAATACTAATGCCCGCTTGCGGATTTCCTAGGAAGAAATTGAGGGGTCCAAGCATTTGATAAAAGTGAAAGTTGACAGGAAAGTAAAGTAATTGTAAGCGAAACTCACAATCAGCACACAGATGATCTACCAAATCAATGAAATTCTCTTTGCAGTACTTGTCTCTCTTTTCTCCTCAACATCGCCCACATACAGGCATTCTAAGCGGATTGCAATTTCGACCCATTCCCCCTTTCCAGTACCCCCTTCAGTCAGTACTTTCCTTTTCCCCTTTGGATAGAGAGTCGAGAATCGATCGAGAAATTTCCCCTGAACTTTCATTTTGAATCAAATCGAAATCGATTTTTGTTGTTGTCTTTTATGGTAATCGGAAGGGAATTCCACGAATTTTCATGGGAAATCCAAAAGAAATAGACAAAAGGAATAGAACCAAGCCAAGATGAGTCACGGTCTTTTTTTTTGAATAAAAAGAGTGTTCATAAAGGGAAGTGTGCAGGCTTGTCCATATTTTGTTCTTATCTAATCATTCATATGAATGTATCGATGAAATTTGAGGGAAAAGACTGAGAAGTTTGGTTAAGACTGATAGTGAGAAGAAAAAGGATTGCTGATTGGAGAAGCTGATCGGGGAAGTTTCCAAAACCATTCAGATAAGAAACTATGATGAATCATTAAAGGAAATAAAGTTTTTTTCATAAATTAAAACTATCTCGATTAGAAGATGACAAGTAGGATATCATGAGGGAAGACTAACGAGGTGTGACCGTCAAAAAAGAAAAGAAACGGAATGTTTCCATATGTGAAAAGGGAAATGAAAGGAGATAGGAAAAGAAAATATGTGTGTAAAAGGAAAAGAAAGAAATGTAAAACATGTAAACATCTCAAATCTTTTCTGTTCATTTTCCACTTGATTTTACTTGATTTTAATTTCTACTTTTAGCTTTCACTTTTTCATTGCACTCTATGTTGCAGTCAGGTCACACAGGCTTTTATATTTTCCTAGGCTTTGGCTCCGCACCTTAACTGCGCCGAAGGCGCCCGTGTGACCTGACGGCACCCCGGAACGTGACGGTCGCTAAAGCCTCAAGTGGCGGTGGCAAAGGTAGCGCCATTCGATTTCGAAGCAGGTGGCGCCATTCGATGTGGGCCTAACGGTCGTCGCGGCCGTTCGATGTTGGCCGTCGCGCTCCGGGGTGCTGCAGTCAGGTCACACGGCGCAGTTAAGGTGTAGAGCCGAAGCTTAGGAAAATTATAGGAAACTACTAAGGCTCCTTTATTTTCTTAGGCTTTTCCTATTTTTCTTTGCCAACTTTTGACCTTTATTGAACTAATGTGAATTCTAATGTCAAAAAGCGCGTTTTCTAAAGATAAAACGTCTATCTTGCCATTGACATTCCCCCAGCAATTTTTTTTTCTGAGATTTCCCTCCAGATAACACAAAAGTAGCAACATTTATCTAAAAGAAATATGAAAATATTTAGGGGACGGAAAAGGGGTGATGGGGAAGTTGAAGAATGGAAAGAATCACCAAATTTCAATTGTGGTTTGTAATAGCTTCCATGGACGAAGCCAAGATTCGAGAAAAAACTAGCTTTTTCTGAAATTTGATTCAGAAACGGTTTATTACTCAAAATGACACCAAACTCGTGAATGTTTTTGTTGGATAGAAAATGAAGAGTTTGGTGGAGTAAAAGAGAAAAGGAAAGGGGGATGAGAGTCCTTGTTGAACAGGTTCTCACCTTTTCCCCTTTCTCTTTTCCTTTCTTTTCACTTCAAAGGGTCACCAGAGAAATGCTCTTTTTTTAAAGTCAAAAGGATAACAAGAGATCAAAGAAAAGGCAATTTTGATGGTGAAATATCTTCATGGGAACATGCACACTAAACGAATAACAAAGCAGTGAATGTAGAGCAGTTACAAGACTCAAAATAACGACAAGCTACCGTAAGAGATAGTTTTACTGTTCTTAAACCCTATCTGAAAAACGAAAACAAAAAGTGTACCCGTATTCGTTCGGAGAGCCGACTGACGAACGAATTTCCGGCGAATCGCGTAACTCATTTCTCTTTGAAGAGAGAGATGGCTGAGGGAAATGGAATGAATGAAGAGATTCAGAAGTGAGGAATAGAAATGAAAAGAGAATATAGAAGAGATCGAGATGAATGGAGAAGTCTTTTGTGAGACTGATGGGAGATTGAGGAGAGAAGGTCAGAGAGTGGGTACTATGATGAAGAGAGAAGCTGTGGCACGAGAGATAGATGACGACTGTAGCAATAGATCAAAAGGGTTAGGAGTAGGATGGAGTAGAGAAAGTGTTGTTCTAGAGATAGACAGTTGAATGATAGAATTGTTGATCTGTAAGGTATGGTTGAATAAGAGACGAAAAGAGTGGAGTCTCTTGTACGAGAGAAGTCAGAAATACAGAATATGTAGAAGGAATACAGAAAGAAGGAAACGAGAGCTTCACCTCTTTCGCTTTTCTTTCTTCTTTCGTCTTCTTTTTTCACTCAAAGCTTCGCCGGATTGTTTGCCCAAGTGTCCGATTCGAAACACACCGCCTCGACCCGTTCTTTTGCTTTCAAAATTTCCGACAGAAAAACTGAGGGAATTCAGAGGAGGTGCCAAAAGGTGGCATTGAGTGAACAGGTCAATGATCAAATGGAGATCAACTCTCCAGTCATCTGATCCAAGTTTAAGGAGGGTTGTATTGATAAGATTCGATAGAATATCTGTACTCTGTGCTCAATAGCTGATTTGAGTTAATCAAAAAAGTAGACTAGAGAATCACGATAAATTTTGAAGTATAGAAAACAGAATCGTTCACCTCTTGTAATTCAATAATTTAATATAGGACAAATAGATCCAATCGAGTCAGAATAGGGCAGTATTGACTCTGTTCTGTTCTTCAATAGTAACACAGTTTTTTTATAATAATGACTGAATACAGAATATGGGATATTGAACGATTACGGGCTCTCACCTGAGTGGGATGAATAGGAAATGGAAAAGGTGAGGGGGAGAGGTGACAGCCGATGACAGGCCTCACTCTCAGCCTTAGGCCTATGCCCGTATATAAAAGAGAGACAGGGTCCCTTTCCTTTTCTCTTCTCAATTCACGAGCAAACATGCAAACATTGCTGCCTGTATTGGATGGATGGGATTGTGCCCGAAATTCTCTCAATCCCATCAAAACAACACCAATAATTATGAGTGGTGGATGGGTGGGAAAGAAAATGGAAATATTAGAAAGGAAAAGGTGAAAGATAAAGATAAAGGTAGAGTTATAATAGTTACTGGAGTTGATAGTCAGTATCTTACAATAGCCTGAGCTTGTCTAGGGATCTACAAACACTAAAGCAAGCGTGGATTGCTATCTTGATCAATTGTGATGTTTTCAATACAGAGCTATTGAAAGTCAAACCATGCCCATCTCAATATTTTCAACTAGGCAATGTCACAAACCATCAGCGATATCTCCTCCAGTCGATCCTTTTGTTTCCCATTCTGGATGTGCCATTGCCGCTTCCATTAGCCAATTCATCGTTAACATCAACAATTTCTCGCTTTTCGGTCCTCTTTCTCCGACGAATGGTTGATAGCCGGGATTCGCTAAATGTCTACAGTAAAACTTATCTGTAAAGACGTTGAAATAAAGATAAAGCCCCACTTTTCAACGCATGAGCCACAAATTGTGAGGCGGTTGGTCGTTGAGTTGGCTGTGAAGATTTCATTGGTGGATCTGGAGCTGAAATGGGAAATGTTAAAAAGTTATCTTTTTCTTACTTATTTTAGACTTTTCTTTTTAAGCAGGCAAATTTGCAAAAGCAATGTTTTGCGATTACCTTTTGCTAAAAACAGAAGTAAGTTTGCGATGTTATGGTCTAAAGGGTGCACTTGTCAATGAATTTTAAGTACCTAATAAGTTTTGAATTCCAATGTCAAACCTTTTTGTGCCATTCCCATCATTGCTTGTGATGATTGTTGTGTAGATTGAATCGATCGAGAACCATTGATCGTTGTCGACACACTCGGAGCACCGCCACGGGGTTTTGAATCTGAAAAGAGGTTCCAAGTCAATTATCGAATTAAAAAAGGTATTCACCAAGTAAATCCCCATAAATTTCCGTAAATCTCACCGTTTTTTCCTTTTTTCTTTTCCTTATCTTCTTTTATTTTCTCTTTTTCGTTCGCCGTAACACTGCCCGTTTTTCCGCTTATTGAACTACTGAAAAAGGTATATAACTTTAAGATAAAGATAAAAATATTCAACTCACCTAAACGAGGCTCGATTTTCATTGGTGAGTGTGGTCGTTGTGTCCTTTTCTTTTTCTCCATCAAATCCTCCTCCAAATTGTCCGCTCATTGTTGTCCCAGTTGGCGCACGCTGAATCACGAATATAGTTTTTTTACTAAAATCTGGAAAATATTTGCCAATAAAAAAAATAAGTGTATCTTACCAGTTAGTCATCTTACCAGTCATCTTATCTTACCAGTTAGTAGTCAATTTTCGCCCCCAACTCACCGATTGATTTCCCCTTTGTTCTCCATTTTGATTCATCATTCTCTCATTATTTGCCTGATCCCATTTTCTCTGCAGAATTTCGGTCTCTTTGAATTCGATGGACACTTTATTATCTCCTAAATTAGCTTAAGATATTTCTGAATGATATCTTAATATCATTTTCTTAGTCTTAATATCATTTTCTTTCTGTATACCATAGAAAAGATCAATCATTCGTTGAATGGCTGTGGTGGCGATGAAAAATGAGAGTGGAAGATGTGAGGGATTTGTGGGAAGATCCCTTGAATCGATATCTAAAGATTGTAGATGAAGATATAAGAACTAGAATATAAATATTTCGGTAGCTTGGTTTATTTTGAATAGATAAATCGGATTTGGGCAAATAGCAAGCACTCTGGATTGCTCAGAAGAATAGAACACTTTAGCTGTTCTATACTTCTGATGTGATGCTCCTTACTCGTTTTATTATTGTTGATAGCTGGTTCATGTTGTAGAATTGCTGATGGAGGGCCAAGTAGTGAAAGAATATCCATCCAACTTTTGAATAAAAGACTTGGACCATCTTCGTCGTCGTCTGTTGAAGTTGAGATTAGAGAGGTCACCGATTCATCACCTGAATTGGTAGAAGTAAGAAACTTGCACAATGTCATTTTGTCACAACAATGTCATAAATCTGCTCTTTGGGATGTACTTTGTGCTTAGTAATAGAAACAAACCAATATTAATTGTACAACTTTTTGATCCATACATTGATTGACAAACGAGCACGGTTAGAGAGAGCAATTTTCGGGCCCATGATTCGATCACTGGTACCTAAAAATTGAATATTTAACTCTATCAAAATTGAATGATCATTTCTCTTAACTCACATGATGTCTCCATTTTAAAAATAAAACATGAAGAGTTCTCCAATATGATGATGAAGGAATTTGTTCGAGAGAAACAGCTCGAAGCCATAATTCCAATAAAGTATCAACCATACGACAACTCATTCGACAGCTGATATCATCTACAAATCTCAATTATCAAGTTCAAAAGTTTAATCTTTAACAAAACAAACCGGGAATCGGTGGCTCGGCAAGCAGAATATCGGCACTGTTCAGCATAAAGGACAAGCTTCGAGACCATACCTGAAAGGGACAGTTAGACAGTCTGTTCACCAAAGGGTAATCACTGATTTTACAGTAAAATCGAAAACAACCGGATGAAAACCTAATCGGAACCGATGTTCATCACAAAGAGACTCATCTACTCAATGAACCCAACCTCATCTTGATATTTCCTGCTAGCAAACATTGTAATCGCTTTGATGTTCTCGAGAATTGTCTCGATTTGAGCGGCTTGTCGATTCACCTGTAAAATGGATTGAAGTAGATATTTCTTTCAATAATCCATTAATATCCCACTCACAATCAATTCCAATCGACCATCGGTTACTCTTCGCCTCACGAAAACGCTTCGAAGTGCATCGACGATTGTGCTAAAGTATTCGATATTCCATTGGCGTTGATTCCTTTACCCAATCCCCACCCACTCACCGAAAATATTTCTCTGGTGTCTGAAGTAATGGTGCGGGAATGGTTCCATCGGGTGTATCCGTCAATGCACGAAGCCAATGAGTGTAAACGGAAACTGTCTGTTCGACTGTTGTGAATTCTCGATCAGTGTGTAATGGCAGGGTGAGAGCATGATTGAGAATCTGAATTGCGGTTGCTTTGTAAAATTTCTACAAACATTCATCTTCTCCTACCTGAATACACCATCTCAATTGTTCTTCAGTGATCAAACGGAGCTGTTGTTGATCATTTTTCGCCCCTTCATATGAGAGTTCAGCCAATATAGAAGACGCGACACTGCTTCCCGTTTCTCTGAAGCAATTTCGGCGTAAATTTTTTACTTCTTGATGCTTTTTGTTTTGAAAACTTGCGTACCTGTTATCTGTTTTATGGATAAATTTTCAATTTGTCAAAAAAACAAACTTTGTGAACAAATCGAGAACACTCGTGTTGAGATCGGGGAATTCGATCAACGGCCAATCGTCGTACATTTTTGTGATTGTTGTTTAATCGATCACTTTTCAACCATCGATCCTTTCTTTTTTGCCGATTGAGATTCAACTAAAAGACGGTTTCAAAGGCAGCTAAAATAACCATTTTGACGCATTTTATTGCGTGTCAATGAGAAAAGGTGGAATGGGGATTTAAAATGAGGATTGGAGAGAGAATGGGAAAGAGATTACATTTGGAAATGGTGCGGTAAAGGATCAAGTCTTGCTATTACTCTGAAAGCGAGATTTCTAATTGTATGTAAATTGGATAGCTTGCATGAATATGCGTCTAGTTTAAAAACAATTTTATTATTTCATTATTACATATACAATGGCGCTAAAGTCCAGATTTGGTCGATGAAAAAGGTAAATTGTGAAAATAATTTGTAAGATAATGGTTCAATAAAAAGCAATGCAAAGCGAAGATTCAGTTAAATGATGGATCGAGAATGGTGGATTGGATGGATGGGGGGGAGTGAAGAGAAAAGGAAAGGGAAGGGCTCTCGGTGTGCACGCCGATGCGTCTTTTCTGACCCCGAGGGGAAAATGAAAGGAAAAGATTGGAAAAATGGAGAGAAAAAGAGAAAAGAAACACAAAATGGATAAAGAAAAGGAAAAGATTGAGAAAAAGGGAGAGAAATCTCTCAATTCTTTGCTTTCTTGAGAGACTGACCATACTAACAATGGGAAAAAATGGGGAAGATCGACTCACAGAGAGAAATCACAGCCAAACACTGATTCATCTCTTGGGTTTTTCAATGAAATCACATTTTTGGAAAGAGCTATCATATTAGAATTTAGAACTTTTGTAGATGGTAAACGGATATTCTAATTTTTCTCGGATTTGAAAAGTCTTCATCCAAATCACAAACAACAACCAGTGTTGGCCCAAAAAATGAAATAAACAGGTATCCAAGAAATAGTTTACAAATTTCTATTGTTTTTGTCCTAGCAGCAGTGTTTCGTGAGCTTCAAGAACATGAAATACCAAAAACGTTCCGTTTTTCAAATGATAAAAAGAATTTTCTCCCAGCGTGTGACTCACTTCCCTCGTCTGCAAAAAAGGAGATGTGTCAACGATTGATTTTCGTCTTTTGGTAAATGGAAAGAAAAATTTATCTGCTTTTCTTAAAACAAACGAGAGGGCAAAAAGATGAACACATGTATCACAATAGAATTTATTATCTCGATCCAAAAACAAAAAAAATAGTTCAAATTTCTGAAACCAAAAGAAAAAACAAAAAGAAACATGTTAAGTAACGATGACTTACATGATGATCACAAATGAAATTTATTCTATTGTTGAGGTGGTGGCTGCGATCCTCCTCCGGGTGCGTTTCCATCATTTCCTCCTGGTCCTTCAAATTGGCGTCGGAGTTGTTCAACGAAGTCCGGATTTTGTTCCTGCATTTGACGGGCCATCTAAAGAATATTTTTTTCCAAAACTTTGCGATACAGTACCCCAGCACCGAGTGATAATTGCAGTTAGACTTGCTTATCGATATTATCGATACAAACGGCAAGCTCATGTTTGACCGCTCAGATCTCGGTTTCTAGAACTATCAAGCTGCAAATTGTTTCATTGGAAAGTCAAGAATGCCAGCTTTTGATTGCTATTTCACATAAAGCAAATTCTGATAGGTGAGTGTCTTAAAAAGTTTATCACTACTTATCGATAAGGTTTATGAGGTGCTTACTCATTAAATGTCGCTATGTATAAAATAGCAATCAAAAGCTGACATTCTTGGCCTTCCAATGAAACAATTTGCAGCTTGATAGTTCTAGAAACTGAGATCTGAACGGTCAAACATGAGCATGCTGTTTGTATTGATAATATCGATAAGCAAATCCAACTGCAGTTAATATTTTGTGCCTTTAAATAAAAAATTACAACTCACGGCTTGTCCTGCTTCGAAAAGATTTCCCATTCCACCGCCTTGCATCATTTGAGCCATCATGCCTATAAAAGAAGTATTAGTTTATAAGAATAAAAAGAGAAGTATCGAAAAGCCTCAAGTCTCATACCTTGAATATTTGGGTCTGTCATCAGCGAGTTTGCCATCTAAATTAAAAGTAAGTTTTATTACTTCGTTTTAAAAAGAAAAACTCAATTATTGAATAACCTACCTGCATCATAGATGGGTTGTTTAGAAGTGATGCAAAATCGGGCGCGCCACCGCCTCCAGCTCCGCCAAACATACCAGCCAAAGGATTCTGAAAAATATAAAAATCATTAAAGAAGAAAAGAAAATCTTACGTTTGGATTGTTCAATTGAGCCCGAGCTGCAGCTTCCATCTCCTTTACTTTCTCCTCGGCAATCTTCAAATTGTTCTTGTAGCTTTCTTGTTCCGGATCAAGTTCTAAGGCCTTCTTGTAAACTTCAACTGCTTGCTCGTAGCGATTTTGGCACGACAAAGCCAGGCTAAATTGAAAAAAATACAACAGAATTACAATTTTTGTCCTGTTCAAATGATTATTTCATTTTAATAAGTACTAACCCCATTCGTCCATAAGCTTTGCTATAGTTGGGATCAAGTGCAATCGCCGTACGACAATCCTGGATTGCCAAATCGTATTGCTCCAGACGACAATAGGCAGCAGCACGATTGCAAAAGTAGACCGGATCTCTGTTGAATTTGATTGCTTCATTGTACTTCTGGATGGCCGCATCAAATTGATTAGACTAAAGCAAAAACGTATAAATAGACAAAAGACACATTTACCTTCATCAAATCGTTTCCTTCTTCTTTCAATTTATTTGCTTGTTCCACTTCGGCAGGCGAGGGTTCGGCGAGTTTTGTCTCTCCCTAAAATGGGATAAAAATCACATTAACATTTGAATAAAATACAAACCTCAACTCCAAGCCCCTCAGCTGCTGTGAAAATGGATAGAAGAGGTTTCGATGGTTGAAAAGCATAGTTGGCGTCAGTCAACCCGAAAGCGCCTTCGAGACATTGCACGGCAACTAAAAGAACAAAACATTATGTAAACCATTTAAAAATGTTCAGAGATTTTTATCAAAAGTTGTTCAATTAAAACTACCAAAGTCTAAATTGTTCCATTTAAACCTCTTCTATCCATTTTCACAGCACTAATAAACTTCGGGGGGAGGGGCACCTTGGCCCGGTTGATTGGTCCTGGTCAGATTGTATTTTTGACTGTTTTACCGACATTATTTTACTTTTTCTGGGGTAATCAAGCATGTTGAATCTATTGATAATGTTTTTAGAAAGTTTTGAACAATTTTTATTGATATTTTGATAAGCTAGATAAGGTTTTGCCTCTGCAGTGTTGCTGAGTTTAAAAATGAAGAGGGGCAAACGAAGTGTTAACTTGTTCAAGAAATTCTGAAAATAACATCGTCAATCGATTAAGCGTATTTGATTACCCCAGAAAATGCAAAACAATACTAGAAAAAACACGCCTAAAATAGGGTCTGACCAAGACGAGTCCAGGAAGTTTATTAGTCCCGCAACTCTTTGAAAAAAAGGCCAAACCTTCAAGTCCCTCCACTTGTTCGTCGGAGCATTGGTTTTGGGAGACCTTCTGACGGATGAATTGGATGAATGAAACGACGAGATTCTTCTCATCCGATGAGCTCACACCTTGCGATGGGGCTGGCTCAGTCATTTGGATTCTAAACGAAAAAAAAATGATGACATGATGAAATGATAGTATGAAAAATAAGAACAAGGGAGAAAATGGGTAGGTATGGAAGATTGCCTTGTTGTTCCAGACAACTATTTTAGCAATTATAAAAGCTAAATATTTCGTGCAATGCATAGTAAAACGATAACTTTTATGAAAAAGTTCCTTTATTTGCATGGGTTTAGCCGACGTCAGTGAAATGATTGTATTGCTGAAATTTCTTTTCAACATTCAGCCGAAAGAGGAGAGAAGAGCCGAGAATATTGAGAGGGATACGGTAGAACATCCAACATTGTTTGTTGAAAATGCGATGATTGCGGCAACAGAGGGGAAAAAAGCTTGGAGAAGTTAAAAATCTATAGGATTTTAGCTGTACAATAAAATCTGCATCATAGGTAGGTCTAGAGAAGTGTATTCTATAGAACGTATCGTTTTTCGAAAGCTACCGTAACCTTTAATTTTCCTCAATCTCTTGGTAACGTGTGTCTTCCTGCGTCGAGTCTTTTAAGGCCATATTCAATCGATGAATTTAACGGCGCCAAGATTTTTATTTTACTTCTTAAATTTCCCAAAATGATTCATTTCTGCCACAGATTCATTATTGTTATAAATTTCTTTGTTTTTCTCGAATTTCTCGAATTCTCCCCAGTGAAGATGATTCAATAATACAAAGAGAAATAAACCCCGCCTTCGGAAGCGCTTACATATAAACAAAAATAAAGTTATCGCGTACTCATTGAGCAATTCATTTGCATTTAATGAATTTACCTCTCGCTTTTCTCGTCGTTCTCGTTTGTTCCGTTAGTGGAGCTGCGAGGAGATGGCTTGACTGCATGGATAAGGTTTGTTTTTAAAGATACAGGAATCATTACGCTGGAGTGAAATTTACAGAGACTGTATTACAAAATACTGTATATTTACAGTATTCTGCCCGCTACAGCAATTAAGTAAATCAAAATTAAAAATCCCTCATTTAGGAAGAAGGAACGGAGATTGATTCGGAAATGAGCCCCTTCGTCTACACGTGTGTAAAGAACAATCCGACTTTTTCTGGTGAGTTGTTCTTCCTGCATAATTTCGTTAAGAAAAACATGGATAACGGTAAGTTTTCTCTGGAAAACACTTTTCGAAATGCTATGTTCCAAAAGAAAGCAGTCTTTGACATTTCAGGTTGTCGTATTCTCAACAAGAAGACATTGAAACCAGAAGTGATCAAACCCAATAATATCGGTCTTGTATTTGGAAAGTAAGTCCTTTTTGATTCATTTTTAAAGTTCTTTCTCATTCTAGAGATTATCAATATATTGGCTTTGTGAAAGAATGCATTGAAGACGAAGAAAACGTCTATACAAAAACGTTAGGTTTTGTTTAATTTCAGGTTTTTTGAACATTTACAAGTTTAAGGTTGTTGGGTGAAAGGTGATGATGAAAAAGATGTAAAGGAGTTCAAAGTGGGCTCGACTGAGAAGATAAACATTGTTGAATGGGTACCGTAATCATTTGAACAGAGCTTTTGATAATCAAAAGACTGCAATTTCAGGGAGTGAAGAGGACCTTTAATGTGGAATGTTTCTATGACAAAATTGACGAAAAAATTTGTCTCGAGGTGCGGGAAATTAAAGGAGAAGACTTAGTAATGCCTGCAAATTCATCGGAATCATCTTCTCCAAGTCCAGGACCTAACTACCAAGATGATTTGAACGACAATTAACCCCGGGAGCTCAACAGCCTTGAGCTCAACAGTCCGGTATCTTGAATAAATATTGTATGAGTGAAATATTTTACTTAAAAGCATATCTGAAATTTCCCAAAATGATTGTGCTACAGATTCACCATGAATTCATTGGAAATTTTTTCTTTTCATTCGTTTTCACGAATGTTTTCACGAATAAATTTCCACGAAAATGATTCAATCAAGAGACAAAACTCCGCCTTCAGAATCACTTTCATATAAACAAAAATAAAGTTATCATACCTATTGAGCAATTCATTTTTCTGTTATGAACTTGCTTCTCGCATTTTTCGTTTTAATTTGCATCGTGAGTGGAGCTTTTGACTGCTGGAACAAGGTTTGGTTTAAAAAGATATAGGAAATTTCAATCATTGCAGAAAGATGGAGGATTAATCAATTCGGAAACGAAGCCATTTGTCTACAAATGCGAAAAGAACAACCCGATTTTCGTTGGTGAGTTATTCATTCTGCGCAATAATCATTAGAGTGCCTCTTCATTCATGAGAATCACCCTAACATTTCAGGTTGCCGTTTCATCAACAGAAAGACATTGAAAGAAGAAGTGATTGCACCCAATAATAGCGGTCTTGTATTCGGAAAGTAACATCCATTTCCATTTTCATTTCCAAATTCTTTCATATAGAGGTTATACGTATGCTGGTTTCACGAAAAATTGCATGGAAGACAACACAAAAGTCTACACAGAAACACCAGGTTTTGTGCTTTTCTTCAAGTTTATATGACCATTTACAAGTTTAAGCTTGTTGGGTGAAAGGTGATGATGAAAAAGAGGTAAAGCTGCTTGAATGGGAAGATGCAGCGGTGATAAAGATCACTGAAAATGTGAGTTATCGTAATCATTTCAATAAAGTATAAATTGAAAGTGACGAAAGAATCAAAATAATGAGAAGACTTTGATTTCAGGGAGTGAAGAAGATCTTGAAAGTGAGATGTTTCGAAATTGGTAAAAAGACGCGTTTCGGTCTATGGGAAATGAAAGAAAAAGAGCCAGCACCTAGCCCAAATCCAGGACCAAAATCCCAAGACGAAAATTGACAAAAAAAAAGCTCGGTTGTATCTTGAATAAATATGGAAATGCACAAAACGATCATTGATGATCTAGGGAGAAAAGAGCGGTGCGTGTTAGTTGTATTGCGAACAATTTGTACATTATCTTACAAATCTTTAAAAACTTTATCCAAGCAACGTAAAAATATTGCAAATCAAACATCGAGAACCCAAAAAATTCACTGAAATAAAGCACAAATCGACAAAAAACATCGAGAATTTCAAGCACATTGAGATCACAAGGCAAAAGATGTATATTTATCGAGAAAAGAAAGGAGATCGGTAATCAATTTGGGAGGATTGGGTGTATTGGGGAAGATTTGGTGAAAAACGAGACGATTCAGGCGTTTTTTCAATGGCATTTGACATCTCCAATTCACTGTCCAAAACGGACGAGTCGGCTTCGACGCGTTTCTGCAAAAGAATTGATGCGATGGTTTTGGAAATCTCAGTACAGTTATTGAGCTGGATTAAGCTGCCGTCCGACCGGATTAAGCTTCCGTCCGGCCGGATTAAGCTTCCGTCCCCGTCCGGCCGGATTAAGCTGCCGGATTTATAAGTGCCAAATTCAGTTATTTAGTCACTACACTGAACTCAAGTCAATCCACTCACCACATTTCCATAACTCGTCTGATGATATTCGGGGCTGTTTCGTCGGCGTTTTGCTGAAATTCATTTTATCGTTTTAAGAAGTTCTTCCGCATGCTTACTAACATTATGAATTGTTGAATTGTGCTATTGTGCTCTTGTGCATAAATCTTTATTTACCTGTAATAATCTCTCTTGTTTGTTCAATTTCACTCGTTGATGGCCGATCTGCACCAATTCTTCTCTTGAACATTGTCTGTGTCCACTAAAATATGAAAATTCTGATGAGATAAAGATCTTTATCTTCTCTCAAACGCCGAAATTTCTTTCTCTATAATTGCTTGTCTCAAATCTTTACATCAGGTAATGAGATTCCCTCAAGACATTTATCGGTCAACGGTCGATCCCATCGGAAATTTCCCGAGAACTGAAAATGGAGAGGTTAAGAGACAGATTTAGAGTGTATCTGAATATCTTTTAAGTGAATATTTTCCTTTCATTACCTGTGATTGTTCGCATGGATGTTCTTCATCGTATTGATTATCTTCCATCGTGTATCTTCCATCGTATTGATTATCTTCCACCATTTCTTCATCGTTCCGGAAATCTTCGGTCCATTGAGGCTAAAATTTCAACTTTACTGAGGCTGAAACTTTACTTTAAAAGAAAATTGCTTTGTATCCTTTAGTGTACTAGACTTTAAGTCAAAACTTACAGCTGATGCGTCTTGTATTTCTGGATTGAACTCGGAGGGATCCTCCGAGAGTGGCGAAACTGAGATATTTTCAGGTTCCTGAAAATTAGAAGATTTTGGTCATTTTACTCGATATGTAGGGACTTTTTTCAAGTCATTTTCAAGTCAGTCTCCAGTTTTTATAGAATTTATAGTATAATCTAGGTAAATCCGTCTCCGTTAAATTAAACTCAAAAATCAAAATCGATCAAAATTGAGGGATTTCTGATCTATTAGTTTGGAAAGAAAGTTCTCGGAAAAAGTTTGATTTCTCACGGTGATTTCTCAAAAAACAAGCCATGAATTCTCCCCAGAATTCTCCCATTTTATTGATAAACTTGACTATATTTCAAAAAGTTTTTCTGGTGCAAAAAGTGAGCTGAATTTAAGCTGGAAAATAATAATTTTAAGGGAAAGCTGCACTCGTTTTTTTTACGAGTAATTTCTTGGTGTCGTCTTATAAATAATAGAATAAAATGTTCTTGCATTGGTGCATTCGTTTTTAAGAAATTCCAATCAAACTTTTTCCGAGAACTTTCTTTTCAACCTAATAGAACAAAATGCTATATATCTAGAAA